GTGTGGAAAGAGCTCGGGTTAATTTCGAGTGTTATCTGCAATCAAGATGTTTATAAATCATTTCAGTCGTTGATATAATAATTCAAGGTCGACTGAACATGAATTATATTATACAATTTAAAGCGCATTTCTGTTTATGCATGTGAACCCGTCTAACGTTATTGTAATTTCGCAGTTATATAAAGTAGCAAATTATCGTTCCTGAATAGGTGGCGCCGTGGTAGCGGATCCTGTTCCTCAACTTCCGGTTTCTGCACTGTGCAACTATTTCAGTTATATTTTTAATTAACGATGCCAAGTACTTGTTGTTGTGTACCTGGATGTCATTTAAGAGGAGGACATGCATTTCCAAATGACTTAAAAAGAAGGAAAAGTTGGATCAACGCCATGGCCCATACGCAGATTGGACGAGAACACGATGATATCGTGGAGTCCATCTCAAATTAGACTCAATCAGCTGTTGGTTGCAAGGCACGTTTTACTGAAAAAGACTACGTGCAGGAAACTATTCATGGTAAAACTCTATTTTCTTTGTGAAATATATAGTTATATATGTAATCGCCATGCGAATAAACCAAAGTCTGTTTACAACCGCAATTATCGTTTTAGAATAAAAGGGGGTGGGTAATTCAAGACGTCATAATTTTTTGGATTACGATTCAATGTGATCTGTTTGAGATTTTTTGGTGATTGCTACAATTATAATGATTTCTTACAAGAGGTATATCATACTGAGAATTATTTTAGCAGTAATTATGCTAATGTAGCATGTGTAGTAATGACAGGAATGCATAAGCTATGCCTCATAGACTTTCTTGAAAAAAATAACAATGACAATGTTAACAGGAACAAAACAATGACATGCTCTCATCTATATTATAGTTATTTAGGTACAAACAATGTACGTTTGTTGCATAAGTCTCTCATTGTTTGTCCTTTGGATTTACATAACATACATTGAATCAGGCAAACATAGTTTTATCCAGATTGTAATGAATAAATCTAGTTAATATTTCGCCAGGTAGTACAAAGTATATATTGCTAATAGAAGTTCATTTAATTATCAAAAAACTAATGTTTTATAACCTTTTTCAGGGCGCAAACCCACCATACAGAGACTTAAGTCTACTGCCATTCCCAGCCTATTTTCCTGGACCAAGCAAGAGACTGAATCGTCAGCAAAAAGAAAAATCAGGGCAGTTTCCTGTGAAAACAAAAGAACTAAACTTGATGAATATTGTAGTAGAAATCTAGAGGAAAATTTTGATTGTAAAGTTGGTTTTCCTGAAGAAGTCATTCATACTGCAGAAAGGATTTATGACTGTCCACCACCAACTGCCGAGCTAATGTTGAGCTTCACAGATGGAATTACGCAAACACCATCAATGCCTATGTTTTCAGCAGAGAATTTTGAAATGAAGACACGTGACACAGCCATGCATTTTTATACCGGTTTAGAGTTGTATACTAAATTTTTATTTGTTTTGACCACACTTGGTCCAGCAGCACATTGTTTGAGATACATATATTTTCAAATTGATAGGGTGTCAGTTGAAAATCAGTTTTTTTATGACTTTGATGAAATTGAGGCATCATACAACCAACTTTGAACTGTCTAGATTCTAGATTGAATCTAGTGTTAAGAATATTGTGTATACATGGATTGTTTTTATGTCTAAACAGTGGTGTGAGGCTAACACTTGGCCATCTAGTGGTTTAGTCAGGTATTTTTCACCATCCAACTTCAAATTAAAGTTTCCTACGACTTGGATTATTATTGACAGCACAGAATATCCCGTGATAAAACCTAAAGCTCCTAGAGCTCAGGCAACCTTTTCATCAAATAAAAACAGAAACACTGAAAATTCTTGAATGTTCGACACCTGGTGGTTTAGTCAACTATGTCTCTATGTCACATAGAGCGAATTATTGGACTTGGCAAAACATACAAAATTCTAATAAATCCTATGAATGGAACTGAAACAAAACTTTCATCTGAAATAACATTTAGTTGTTTTATGTTGTGTAATTTTAGAACTTGTATTGTGCCAAAGGATGCATAAATAAAAGTGACGCAATGAATTTTATTCTGATATATATATATATATTTACAATTACATGCACATGTAAATTGTAATGCATATAAAAATAAGGAGATGTGGTATGATATTCAGTGAGTTTATCAAACTAAAGTGCATAAGAAATGGGTTTAAGCAGTTACAGGTGTTACTGTCACCGTACAATCTCCAACAATGAGAAAAACTCGTACCCTGTAAAAAATTTCAGAGATCTTACAACTAAGTTTTGTTGTCTCACCTTGACTTTGGTGAATTTTTTATATCTGTTGATGTAAATATAAAAAAGAAGATGTGGTATGATTGCCATTGAGACAACTCTCCACAAGAGACCAAATGACACAGAAATTAACAGCTATAGGTCACAGTACGGCCTTCAACAATGAGCAAAGCCCATACCGCACAGTCAGCTATAAAAGACCCCGAAATGACAATGTAAAACAATTCAAACAAGAAAACTAACGGCCTATTTTATGTAAAAAAAATGAACAAATATAACAAATATGCAACACATAAACAAACGACAACCACTGAATTACACTTTTACAGGCTCCTGACTTGGGACAGGCACATACATGTACATACAGAATGTGGCGGGCTTAAACATGTTAGCTGGATCCCAACCCTCCCCCTAACCTGGGACAGTGGTGTAACAGTACAATATAAGAAAGAACTATAAAAATCAGTTGAAAGAGGCTAAACTCATCAGATGGATAAATACAAATACAAGTGGACGTGGTCGGGTAGTTGTACATCCAAACAACAAAAAGACACTAAGTACAGATCTGAGAGTACTCGCAGTTACTGACAGCTAGTTCAAAGCCACTAACAACTGATAAAAAAATCTTGCATCTAAGACTAAATTATCAATCCGTAAGCTCCCTTTAGAATTTTATAAATTTTAGATTTTACATTTCTGAGTTACATGTATGGGGTTTTATTCATTAAAAAAGGGGGGATTTTCCAGTTTTTGGACAACAACTCAAAAATGCTTTAAGCAGTTCACATGAAACTTTGGTCAATTATTTATAGCTATTGATGTAATCTCCCTATTGATTTTCATAAATTTCAAATATGACATTGAAAACAAATTGAACTTTATTTGTTTATAGTCTGGCAACAAATTTATTAAGTATTGCGCAACAGCACAGTGTATTGCACAACAGCAAGAAATCTTTAATTGAATATAAATTCAATTCATATAACTGATTTCAAGTTCATTGACTACATTTATTCAGAAACTATAATATGTCAAATATTTAATTACAATCCAAATTCAGACCTGTATCAAGCTTGAATATTGTGTCCATTTTTGCCCCAGCTGTTCAGGGTTGGACCTCTGCAGGTGTATCCAGCTGCGCTCAGCGAATCAGTTTATTTCTTAATTAAGAACTCCTTTTTTTCATTCATAAATTACTTTATGCTTGGAAATATAATTTTGCTTGGAGTTGAAAGAGTTGACATGTTGCAATGTACATTTACTCTACATAGTTCTATGGTACCAAATCAAAAGTTTATATAAAAGAAAGAAGTCAAGGTTTCCCATCATAGTTTAGTTATATACATTTTTTTTGTACCTGAGGTCGTTGAATATAGATCATTATATAAATAAGGAGATGTGTTATGATTGCCAATGAAAAAACTAAGGATTTTCTTATCCAAGGAATAGATTACCTTAGCCGTATTTGGCACAACTTTTTGGAATTTTGGGTCCTCAATGCTCTTCAACTTTGTACTTGTTTGGCTTTGTTACTATTTTGATCTGAACGTCACTGATGAGTCTTATGTAGACGAAACACATGTCTGGCGTATTAAATTATAATCCTGGTACCTTTGATAACTAATTTGACTATAAACATAGATAAAAAAGGTACAAACTGGACATAATGCACTAGTTCATAAACAAGTGAGAACAATCGCCTTCATATAGTGCTCAGAATATGACATTCATAAAACTTGTTCAATATCAGAGAACTCTAAACCTTAAATACTGAAAGCCACCTCTGATAAGTACACTGTACTATGCAAGATAATGATATAACTGGACTAAAAATACACACAACCTGTAATTAACTGCCTTTACAGCGCTTTCGCGCTTTGATTATAAATTTCCTGTTACAAAACTTTGAATTTTTCGACAAACTAAGGATTTTCTTATCCAAGGAATAGATTACCTTAGCCGTATTTGGCACACTTTTTTGGAATTTTGGGTCCTCAATGCTCTTCAACTTTGTACTTGTTTGGCTTTGTAACTATTTTGATCTGAGCGTCACTGATGAGTCTTATGTAGACGAAACGCGCGTCTGGCGTATTAAATTATAATCCTGGTACCTTTGATAACTAATTTGACTATAAACATAGATAAAAAAGGAACAAACTGGACATAATGCACCTGTTCATAAACAAGTGAGAACAATCACCTTCATATAGTGCTCAGAATATGACATTCATAAAACTTGTTCAATATCATTAGAAAACTCTAAATCCTAAATACTGAAAGCCACCTCTGATAAGTACATGTACACTGTACTATGCAAGATAATGATATAACTGGACTAAAAATACACACAACCTGTAATTAACTGCCTTTACAGCGCTTTCGCGCTTTGATTGGTTAAATGCCTACAGCGCTTACAGTGCTTTGATTTAATTCAATGGTGATTATATTCAAATATGTGGATTGATGAAGTGGGATGATTTTGGAAGATGCTGAGGGAACATTCATAACTCATAATTCAAGATAAACTGACAAGGTCATGGAAAAAAACCAAAGACAAGGAAAAGACAAACAAGTTAAGATAACATTACCAGGAAATCTATATTTGTAAAAAATCAAAGTTTTTAATTTGTTTAGCTCATGATCATCTTTTTGATTCATTTCTGCTATAGCTCTATAAACTTTACCTTTATGGTTTTTACTTTCAGCAAACAAACAGACTGTGTTTCATGTGAAACCATGATAGATGGAGCACCAGTCAGGCTACCTTGTAGTCATGTGATGTGCAGAAAATGTTTCCTTGGCAACATTCAACTGAAGGAATATGATTGTCCAGATTGTCGCAAGAAATTCCCAGAAGACCTGGATCCTGACAAAACTGATAAAGAGTAAGGTTTATAACTAAAGTTCTGCTTGTGTGATAAGATGTAACAAATTAAGCTTCAAGGTACATATTTGTGTAAAATATGTTCTTTAATATTAAACAAACAGTTTATAATTAAGTTAAGTCACATCATCTTAAAGCTTAGTACACATGTTCATTATGATGTGAACATTTTTAAAATGTATGCCAAATTAGGGTTTTGACCCAGATTTCATGGTTCACTGATCAGGTTACAGTTTTGGTTTAAGGTAGTCTACTATGGAGTGGTGTCCAATCAACTTAAAACTTAGTTCACATTAGGGTTTAGACCCAGATTTCATGGTTCACTGATCAGGTTAAAGTTTTGGTTTAAGGTAGTCTAACATGGAGTGGTGTCCTATCAACTTAAAACTTAGTTCACATTAGGGTTTTGACCCAGATTTCATGGTTCACTGATCAGGTTACAGTTTTGGTTTAAGGTAGTCTACTATGGAGTGGTGTCCAATCAACTTAAAACTTAGTTCACATTAGGGTTTTGACCCAGATTTCATGGTTCACTGATCAGGTTACAGTTTTGGTTTAAGGTAGTCTACTATGGAGTGGTGTCCAATCAACTTAAAACTTAGTTCACATTAGGGTTTTGACCCAGATTTCATGGTTCACTGATCAGGTTACAGTTTTGGTTTAAGGTAGTCTACTATGGAGTGGTGTCCAATCAACTTAAAACTTAGTTCACATTAGGGTTTAGACCCAGATTTCATGGTTCACTGATCAGGTTAAAGTTTTGGTTTAAGGTAGTCTAACATGGAGTGGTGTCCAATCAACTTAAAACTTAGTTCACATTAGGGTTTTGACCCAGATTTCATGGTTCACTGATCAGGTTACAGTTTTGGTTTAAGGTAGTCTACTATGGAGTGGTGTCCAATCAACTTAAAACTTAGTTCACATTAGGGTTTAGACCCAGATTTCATGGTTCACTGATCAGGTTAAAGTTTTGGTTTAAGGTAGTCTAACATGGAGTGGTGTCCTATCAACTTAAAACTTAGTTCACATTAGGGTTTTGACCCAGATTTCATGGTTCACTGATCAGGTTACAGTTTTGGTTTAAGGTAGTCTACTATGGAGTGGTGTCCAATCAACTTAAAACTTAGTTCACATTAGGGTTTTGACCCAGATTTCATGGTTCACTGATCAGGTTACAGTTTTGGTTTAAGGTAGTCTACTATGGAGTGGTGTCCAATCAACTTAAAACTTAGTTCACATTAGGGTTTTGACCCAGATTTCATGGTTCACTGATCAGGTTACAGTTTTGGTTTAAGGTAGTCTACTATGGAGTGGTGTCCAATCAACTTAAAACTTAGTTCACATTAGGGTTTAGACCCAGATTTCATGGTTCACTGATCAGGTTAAAGTTTTGGTTTAAGGTAGTCTAACATGGAGTGGTGTCCAATCAACTTAAAACTTAGTTCACATTAGGGTTTTGACCCAGATTTCATGGTTCACTGATCAGGTTACAGTTTTGGTTTAAGGTAGTCTACTATGGAGTGGTGTCCAATCAACTTAAAACTTAGTTCACATTAGGGTTTAGACCCAGATTTCATGGTTCACTGATCAGGTTAAAGTTTTGGTTTAAGGTAGTCTAACATGGAGTGGTGTCCTATCAACTTAAAACTTAGTTCACATTAGGGTTTTGACCCAGATTTCATGGTTCACTGATCAGGTTACAGTTTTGGTTTAAGGTAGTCTACTATGGAGTGGTGTCCAATCAACTTAAAACTTAGTTCACATTAGGGTTTAGACCCAGCTTTCATGGTTCACTGATCAGGTTAAAGTTTTGGTTTAAGGTAGTCTAACATGGAGTGGTGTCCTATCAAATTAAAACTTAGTTCACATTAGGGTTTTGACCCAGATTTCATGGTTCACTGATCAGGTTACAGTTTTGGTTTAAGGTAGTCTAACAATACCATGGTGTGGTGTCCAATCAACTTAAAACTTAGTTCACATTAGGGTTTTGACCCAGATTTCATGGTTCACTGCTCAGGTTAAAGTTTTGGTTTAAGTTAGTCTACCATGAAGTGGTGGTTCCATCAACTTAAAAGTTCATTATGTTCATTACGATGTTAAGTTATTTTTTCAAATGACTAAATTATGGATATTAGGGTTTTGACTCAGATTTTGCAAGTCAGTGAACATAGGAATGTGAAAGTGCATACAGGGCATGATGGCCTATGAACACATATTCTTGTTAATTATCAATATCTATGGATTCATTATTATGCTCGGGATACCATTTTTATGCGACACCTAAGGGCATTATGTTTTTCGGTCTGTGCGTCCGTTCCTTCGTCCGTCCGTCTTTCCCGCTTCAGGTTAAAGTTTTTGGTCAAGGTAGTTTTTGATGAAGTTGAAGTCTAATCAACTTGAAACTTAGTACACATGTTCCCTATGATATGATCTTTCTAATTTTAATGCCAAATTAGAGTTTTGACCCCAATTTCATGGTCCACTGACCATAGAAAATGATAGTGCGAGTGGTGCATCCATGTACTATGGACACATTTGTCATATTTTTATTTCGTGGGTAAACGAAAGGTAAACCACAAATTTAAATGTTCAACGAAGTATGAATTTTTAATAGGTTTGTATGCAGACTGCGTCATAACCATGAAATCAAATACCACAAAAATACAAATTTCCCTCATTTCATGAAAATTGGTACACACAAAAATTAAATGAATCCACAGTATATTAACTTTACACAGCAACAGTTGGATAAATGATGACCATCAATATTTAAATGTTGTTCCTTGTAAAGTCTGATTTTACATAGAAACAAAATATGGAAACCTTTCTACCATATTTTGCCAACAATAATATTTTGTTATCTAGTTCCGATTCGTAAAATGAGAACTTTTTTATGCAGATTAGAAATGAAGAAGTACCATGACTACAGAAGACGCTGTAATAGTTTCTTCATGGAGGTTGTATCACAACTCTGTTTTGCTGATGGAACTCCACCGTCCAAGGAGGTAATTGATAAACTCCTGTCATATATCACTGGTCAAAGTAAGACGAAGAAGAGCGGGAGAGTTTTGTCTAAAGAACTGACCATATTTGACGATACAATAGACCCTACACCAGTGGTCAGATCCTTTCTGTTACAGCAGTTGATGCAAACCAGGTAAGATTATTTCAGTAGTCGACCCGTAGATTGTGTGAATGGTCTACAATCTTACCTTGATAAAATAAATTTTTAATTTTCAACCTGGCAGGATTATCATTTGAGACTCTTTTTTTCATTGTGAGTGCTATATAAATGCACTATTTCTTTATTTCGGATGTTATCAAGGCATATAGAAGGTAGTACGGTGACCTGTAGTTGTTAATTTATGTGTCATTTGGTCTCTTGTGGAGAGTTGTCTCATTGGCAATCATACCACATCTTCTTTTTTATATATATAGATTTTTTCTTCCATAAATCATTACACCATATTACTTTCTTTCAATTGCAAAATTATAATTCTTGACCTCGAAAGTTTTAAAATCAGTAATGACAGGATTATCATTTGGGGTCTTTTTTCACGGTTAATTTCATAATATAGTTTCAGTTAATTATAAGTACCTGTTGATTACAATTTTAACTTTAATGCAATGTATTGGATCAGAAGGTTAACCTATAGAATGATGTTTCTATTTTCAGTAGTGACCATGAAATACAGAATCACTTGTCTGCCTACTTTACCCTTGCCAATGATGTAGTTAAAACGTCTGCAGATCCTCACAATTCTGTGGAGCTATGTCTTCTTGTTCTTCAATGTATGGAGGTAAGAAAAACATCTGAGTTGTCGTAGCAGATTTTAAAGAACTTGAATGTAAAACATCACATATTAAATTGTAAAATTTCTGTTTAAGTGCAGAGGATAGTTTAAAAATGAATGAATTTTTCTCCAGCATTTTTTCTTAAAATCAATAGAATAATCACTATGAATCAAAAAAAGTTTATTGGGCAGCAAGTTATGAATTTAATGAAGTTTTGTTTAAATTGCACATACCTGGCATAAATATGATGACCTATCTATGTGGAGTTGTGTGATTACAATGTAACTAAACCCATGAAGTTTTGCATTATAAAAATGTCACAGTTTAAATGTGTAACAAGCTGACCAGTATATAGAACTGTGACCTAGAATGCTATTGTTATATGGGTAAATATATAGACTGATATACCCTGTCGTAAATTTAAATGACATGTGTCATAATTGTTTCAAAATAAAAAAATCATTGATTTTTAGGATTCACTGCATCAACAGTACAAGGGAGAGGAAGAAGTTACCGTAGCAACTCAGATGTTGAGAGAGGCAGTTCCATACATTGTGTGTGATAGTGATGTCCTTGATAAGATAGATCATATTGCCAGGGTTCGGTTTTCTTTGACTGTAGTGGCAAGGCATATTCACAGATTATATGGAACATCAAAGAAATCTATGCCTGATGAGAAAATTAGGAGAATGTTCGAGGCGGCTGCTAAACTTTGTGATGAATGTAAATCTCCATGGCCTAGGTAATAAATTATAAAATTGTTATGATTTTTTCAATAATTTACTTTTTCTATATTTTTTTTAAACTTTTTTAAACTGTGCATATAATGCGTCTGTATATTTCTGTTCAAACATTTCTATATTTTTATCTGCAAGTATTGTCAAAAGATGATGCTTATGATAAAAGGCAGATTTCTTTTATAATTTTTGTTGTTGTCATTGGATTGCTATTTCATTTATATATACCTCATAACTCATTGATATATACCTCATATCTCATTGATATATACCTCATATCTCATTGATATATACCTCATATCTCATCTAATTCAAATTTAAATTTAAATTGTTCCATAACTTTATTAACATTTACTGCGTTTTGAATTGAATTCAGTGAAGATTTTCTCTAATTTATAGGAGATATTTTGTAAAGCAGCTGTGTAGGTGTCATGGTATAGACAGTTACCACACAGTCATAGCGAACAGTGAAGCAAGTTTTCTAAAATGGGTCTGTCTACCAGAACTACAGGCAAATGAGGTAGAGCTTTTTTTAAGTTTGCAAACAGATATGACCAAATTTGAAAGGGATTGATTAAAGTCCATGCTATGACCAAATTTGAAAGGGATTGCTTAAAGTCCATGCTGTGACCAAATTTGAAAGGGATTGATTAAAGTCCATGCTATGACCAAATTTGAAAGGGTTTGATTAAAGTCCATGCTATGACCAAATTTGAAAGGGATTGATTAAAGTCCATGCTATGACCAAATTTGAAAGGGATTGATTGAAGTCCATGCTATGACCAAATTTGAAAGAGATTGATCAAATTCGATGCTATGACCAAATTTGAAAGGGATTGATCAAATTCCATGCTATGACCTAATTTGAAAGGGAAGATCAAATTCCATGCTATGACCTAATTTGAATGGGAGTGATGAAGTACCATTTTACAATAATTTATGACAGTTTGCAAACTTATTGGGCTTTTTTAATGACCGATACATTTATTTTGATAGGTAAAAGAATGCCATGACAGATATATTGTGATTGGAGATGAGTACAAACAGCTAAGAGAAATCATCGTTACCACAATACTCAGTGAAAACAGTGACAAAATAGACACACTTTTGAAGGTATGATACAATCAGTTAGGCAAGTTGATTATATAGCTAACGTTAATATTTTAAGTTCCATGTGATTTATTTCCATCATCTTGTGTATATTGGTATTATCCTAGATTGTCGTCTGCTGTCAAAAACTTCTAAAAAGAATCACAGGACACAATCTTTGTAGGTGAATTAAAGAAATATTAGTATGTGTTCCAAGTACAATATAGCATACTTTTGTAGTACAAAATGTCCTAATCCTTATGAAAATCAATTCTTGCATTTTTAAAGCAGATGTTTTTGCAGAACTTTTACAGTTTCCATGCTATATATAAGGACTTCAACTTTGGTAAGCACTCAAAGCTTATATATTTGATGAAATCTAGAATTGACATTACAAACATGATATCTGCTAAGTCTCAAATAGATTAACCTACATTGAGTGTTGGTTAGTTTAGATCTTGAATCAAACATGTTTTAACAGAATTTTTTTTTTCAATCAGAGCCCTCAAAATGAATGGCAGTGTAGAGTAAAGTTGAATTTAGCTTTACACAGGGAAATATGTATGAACAAAGTAACAGATAGAAGTCCACAAAAGTTTACAGAAGAGGTAGGTATTAGTAATGTAATATCTAGTTAATCTCTCTATATAATTGATTTATGCATAGTTTTCAACATTTGCTTTATACTATCAAAATTACATAAAGGTCAGACATATCTCGGTGACAACGTTTTATTTTTTATGCATTCACTATTCAAAACCAAGTTTTTGTCTAAACATGCAAAACTGAATTAAAACTAACTGATGCTCTTCCTGCATACATTATGTAGGTATGGACACTCTTGGGACACATTCTGTTTTTTTATGTTTGGCATTGCTATAAGGCTGAAAATTTAACATATGTCCAACATATACTTTTGTTAATTTTTAAAATATGGAGGCTTAGGGATTGTATTTTAGGATAAATTATGTTTGTTGTTTCCATTGCAGGGAATAAACTCCATCAGCAAGTACATACTAAGTGAACACTGTCAGCTGATTACAGATAAGGTAAAAATATCAAGTATAGAAGGAGATCCTACCCAATTTGTTTCATTTGATCACTAATTTTATGATTTTGGTTTTGCCATCCCTTGATATATAGATAGTTTGTCACTGCAAAATTTAATGAAAAAAACACAAAATTGAATTATTTCAAACCATTTGTATATAAGTATATAAGAAGATGTGGTATAATTGCTAATGAGACAACTCTCTACCAGAGACCACATGACGTAGAAGTTAACAACTATAGGTCAATGTATGGCCTTCAACAATGAGCAAAATACATACCGCATAGTCTGCTTTAAAAGGTCCCGAAATGACAATATAAAACAATTCAAACAAGAAAACTAACGACCTGACTTATGAACAAAACAATGAACGAAAAAAAAATTAAATACAGCAACAAACAACAACCGCTGAATTACAGGCTCCTGACTTGGGATAGGCACATACAGAATGTGGCAGGGTTGAACAAACCAATGTCTTCTTGTGCTCCCCTTATTAGATTTTTTAGGTTTCTAAAGCAAAACATAAAACCTTACATTTCTACTTATGGAAAGTGTGGCTATAGAAAAACTACTATAGTTTACACACAAATAAAAGAAAACTTGACTATAACTCATACCAAATGTAAGCGCACATATTTATTCTTTTATCAGCTTTTATGCATAGGGTCTTCTTTGTTTGAACATGGATTTCCTCAGTTAAAGCATGCACTTAGGTCATCTAAAGTTAGAACATTTGATTGGTACAAAACTTGAAAGAAATTACTTCAATAGTTTTTTAGCAGGTGAGCTTTTCTCATCACTTGGCGTCCGTCGTCATTGTCCGTTAACTTTTACAAATTTCTTCTCCTCTGAAACTACTGGACCAAATTTAACCAAACTTGGGACAATTATCATTGGGGTATCTAGTTTAAAAAATTTGTCCGATGACCCCGCCTGCCAACCAAGATGGCCAACATAGCTAAAAATAGAAAATAGGGGTAAAATGCAAGTTTTCCCTATTATTATGAAAACCATTATCAATAGAGAAAATCTGACAGGGCAGAAATATTCAGAATGTTGAGCTCTACCAATTGTGTATTTACATCAAAACTGTCAGGGCACTTCTTATAGGAGTTATTGCCCTTAAATGTCAAATTTTACCATTTTTTTTTGTCATTTCTGCTTATTATTTTAAAAACTATATTAGATACAGAGAAACTTTAAAATGCAAAAATAATCAGGAAGATAAGATCTACATATAAGTCCCCCCCCCCCATGTTCGAAATCATCCAATGTCTCTTTATTAGAGTTATGACCCTTTAATGACGATTTTTACCAATTATTTGCGTATTTGTCTTATATCTTAAAAATTATACATTTTGTAATAAATAGAAACTTAAATAAGTTAAAATGATCAGCAAGACAAGATCTACAATTAAGACAAAATGGAGGAAATCGTCAGACGACTCCTTATTGGAGTTATTGCCCTTTAATGACAATTTTTACCAATTTTTCTATGTTTTACCTTATATGATAAACATTATGATAGATAAATAAAAACTTTAAATAACAAAAATGATCAGCAAGGCAAGATCTACAAACAAGTCAAATTTTGCCAATATAGTTAGTAGTCTGTCACTCTTTATAGGAGTGAGTGCCCTTAAATGAGGATTTTTTTTACCCTCTTTTGTGTTTTGAGCAAAAACTAAAGAAGATGGAGAGAAACTAAACAGACAAAAGAACAGCAATACAAGGTAAAAAAAAGAAAAAGATGTTTTACTTGAACTCTATTCTCGTCTACATTGTTGGAGAGTGTCCTTTGTTGAATATGCACATAGACCTAGGCGAGCGACACAGGCTCTTTAGAGACTCTAGTTTGTATTTTTCATATATATTAATTTCTTACTTATTGCTTGACCTTTGTTAGGATTTTGCACAAAGATTACTGAATAATGAAGTTTGGAAACTGAAGGGAAACATCATCAAAGGAATGGATCTAGCTCAACAGAATGTGTTCTGTCTTCTAACACATTATATGATTCTAATGTCTGAAATTCCAGGGAAGACAACTCTGCTAACACCTTTACAGAAAATAGCACTAGACCCTACTAGTATGGTGGTAAGATATATTTGTTATCAGTGTATGTTAACATGCACACATGCATATACATTTCTATGATTCTTTTACAAATAAACCAAGAAAAGAAAAAAACTACTTTGGTATTAAAATATTTCTTTGAGCTATTTTCTAATACCAGATCACTTTAAAATCAGTGGTTCTATGCCTATTGCTGCACAGAAGTCTCCAGTATTTGTGTTTGATTTTTATCCTGTTTTCAAAAAGAAAAACTTCAGACTGAGGTGGAATTGTTATTAATATTTTCATCATCCATGATTACAAACCATTTATTTGGTATCATCTCTGAGATTTAGATAATTTTTTTATATGTCTTGATGTATAATGATATTTTAGCATGTTTCAAATACAATCATGTGTTCTTCATTGTAGAATTCCTTCTTCCCCACAATGCCCCAGGATGAAATACAGGAAATAAAGGAGGCACTCTTAGCTGCAAGGGACAAAACTCCTAATGAAAATCCTGTATTTTATAGTAAGTAACCCTTCCGAAGGGACAAAACTCCTAATGAAAATCCTGTATTTTATAGTAAGTAACCCTTCCCAAGGGACAAAACTAATGAAAGTCCTGTATTTTATAGTAAGTAACCCTTCCCAAGGGACAAAACTCCTAATGAAAATCCTGTATTTTATAATAAGTAACCCTTCCCTATTACATCATTGTCAGGCTGTTTTATTTCTGCAAATTAACTATAAATATATTTAAATGTAATCTGTTATTGTAATAGAATATCCAAATCTTGGTCCAGAAACCATCACATTTGCAAGTGACGAATATTGCGACATGAATGACAGAGAAAAATAATCAAATCTACAAGAAGTTATGTAGGAAATAAACTTTGAATTTCTGTTTTTTTTGGTCAAGTCACACACATAGGTTCTATTTGAAAGTTAAACATCTAAAAATAAAGAATGATGTAATACATATTGCAGTAACATAACTATTTATGTTATTTCCAGGATGTCCAACTGGCCACCCATATGTTATAGGTGATGTAAGTATAAATATAAACCTCTGTATAACAGTTCATGATCCCTGACATTGTTATGCTGGCTTAAATATTTTTCTTCATTAGATATAGAACACTGTTACATTTATTGCTCAAAATATTTTGACTCAGAGGGTCTCTTTGAGTGTTTGCAATACTTTGGCATCCATTGTCCTAGCCCATCAATAAAGTATTTAAATTTTGAACCATACTTTGCTTAAAAATGTTTAGGCTTTGCATTTCAATTTTGTTTACATCAACTCATACCAATGATGTATTTATAAATAGATCAGCTTTAAACGCTAAACATATTTTCAATTTCTGATAAATAACTCAGCCAACTCTATCCAGTTATTAGTCTAATAGTCCTATAATGGTCACCATTTCAATAGCTTACATTACGGCATTTGTAATCCACCAAAAATTACTGAAATAACAATGACTATAAAATGATTCAAAATATGCATAAAAAAATGAACATAATAAATTTATTATTTATTTTTAGAAATTTTCTTTGAAATCATTTTACCAGTTTTAATATACTTTGGTTTAATCATACTTAGAATTATAGGATGATATGGGGGAATGGGGGAACCAAAGATGTACATGTCCTGGTTTCCATGACCGTCAACTTATTTGGCCTTTAATAAAGGGACAAGATTTGAACACTTAAAAAAGTTAACCTCTACCACACGTTAATGTCCCTTTTGCAAATTAGGAAGCGAAACGCACTGGTTGTCTTTGTTTTAATCTAGTGATTTTGTCTTTGGTATTTATAACAGACTTTTGGATTTTGAACAGTTCTTAGGTATATGGTATACATACGTCTTTGATATTGAAGAATATGAGTTGTTTCTGCCTAGACATCTTGGTTTTATTGTGTTTTTTGGGTTGCAGTATCATTGACACATACACCATATCTCTATTTAATCATACTTATTTTTTATGAAAAAACATAACTGAAAGGCAAGATCAGTTCTTGTGAAAATTACTTTGTCTTGAAAAACTTTGTTAAAAGTGAAGAATGAACAGTTTATTATGCAAAATAAATTAATTAGTGTAAGTAAGCCAATGTCAACGGTTTGAATTTTAGATTGAGTTTCAAAGAAATGTTCGCTGAAGTTTCATTTTGGCGTTTCAACTCTTACCTTGAAATACGCAAAAATTGAACTGCAGCAAAATTATCCTTGCTTTCATTATTACTCTAGTCTACAATACTCGTTTTAAGCTAAACTTAAAAAATGATTAACATTCATATAGTATAATGATATTTTAACCATCTTTGTATCATAGTGTGGAAGACCTTATTATCTTGGTCATTGTAAAGAATGTGGACTACAGATTGGAGGTGAACGTCATGTACTAAGGCCAGATAATGTTATAGATTCTGGGTAAGTTACTATCATGTGTCATATACTAAGGCCAGATGATGTTCAGGATTCTGGGTAAGTTACTATCATGTGTCATATACTAAGGCCAGATGATGATCAGGATTCTGGATAAGTTACTATCATGTGTCATATACTAAGGCCAGATAATGTTCAGGATACTGGGTAAGTTACTATCATGTGTCATATACTAAGGCCAGATAATGTTCAGGATTCTGGATAAGTTACTATGAGTCATATACTAAGGCCAGATAATGTTATAGATTCTGGGTAAGTTACTATCATATGTCATGTACTAAGGCCAGATAATGTTATAGATTCTGGGTAAGTTACTATCATGTGTCATATACTAAGGCCAGATGATGTTCAGGATTCTGGATAAGTTACTATCATGTGTCATATACTAAGGCCAGATGATGTTCAGGATTCTGGATAAGTTACTATCATGTGTCATATACTAAGGCCAGATGATGTTCAGGATTCTGGATAAGTTACTATCATGTGTCATATACTAAGGCCAGATAATGTTCAGGATTCTGGATAAGTTACTACTGTGGATTCATTTTTATTCGTGGGATACCAATTTTCGTGGGTTTCGTGGGTCACAGCGAACCACGAATTTAAGAATTCAACGAAGAATAATCCCGAAAAATGTGAATGGAGTCAGATGTTTATTTCCGGTTATGTTATGCAGTTCTAGTATAGTGTTGACTGGCGATAAACATTGTAATATAACACATGTTTTTATTGAAAGAAGATACAAGTATTTTGATTAAATCAATAATAAATATATCGAATATCAGTGATAATTTACTTTTAAAATTGATTAAAACTGTTCATGGAAAATAACAGCAAGTTGTTAATTACCGTGTCATAGTTTGGTTTACTGGTGATTAAAACTCAATAGGATTAAGTACGGGGATATTGCCCATAGGTAATATTGTTTATGACAGGAACATTTATTTTCACACCTTTTACTTATATGACTGTTTATTTATATCGTGATTAGGGAAATGAGCTTTCAATCATAGAGTTTTGAATGCCTTATAAAATTCCAACAAGAATTTATAAATTGTAAAACAAACAAATAATTAGTTGTCTCTGTCCATTATTGTAATAGAAGTTTTCAATGAACACTTTAACCTAGAATGATCAAGCAAGGATTTTGACAATTCAAAACTTTTTCAATGAATTCCTTCTTTTTTGTTTGTTTTATTATTGATCAAACCACGGAGGTTATATGATCTCCTAAATCAAAAAGAAATCCACAAATTACGTATCTGATTTTTTTTTTTTTTTTGTAATCAGCGATCCACGTATTTACGTATACCACGAAACGTCTTTTTTTCTCTATCCATGAAAATTGATACCCACGAAAATAAATGAATCCACAGTATCATCTGTCATATACTAAGGCCAGATAATGTTCAGAAAACTGGGTAAGTTACTATCATGTGTCATATACTAAGGCCATATAATGTTCAGGATACTGGGTAAGTTACTTTCATGTGTCATAAACTAAGGCCAAATAATGTTCAGGACTCTGGGTAAGTTACTATGAGTCATGTACTAAGGCCAGATAATGTTCAGGACTCTGAGTAAGTAACTATGAGATTTTTGGTAAGTTGTTATTATGTGTCATGCTTTGAGGCCAGATAACGTTCAGGATTCTTGGTAAGCTGTTATTATGAGTCATGTTCTGAGGCCAGATAATGTTCTGGATTCAAGGTAAGCTGTTTATTATGTGTCATGTTCTAAGGCCAAATAATGTTCAGGATTTTAGGTAAGCTGTTATTATGTGTCATGCTCTTTGACCAGATAATGTTCAGGATTCTTGTTAAGCTGTTATTATGTGTCATGTTCTGATGCCAGATAACATTCAGAATTCTTGGTAAGTTGTTATGTGTCCTGTTCTAAGGCCAGATAATGTTCAAGATTCTAGGTAAGCTGTTATTATGTGTCATGTTCTGTGGTTGGATAATGTTCAGGATTCTTGTTAAGCTGTTATTATGGGTCATGTACTAAGGCCAGATAAGGTTCAAGATTCTTGGTAAGCTGTTATTATGTGTCATGTACTAAGGCCAGATATTGTGCTAGATTCTGGGTAAGCTGGTATTATGTGTCATGTTCGAAGGCTAGATAATGTTCAAGATTTTGGGTAAGCTGTTATTATAGGCCATAAAACAGATGCTGTTTAGTCTTCCAGTTGACACCAGTTTATACATTATACTATGTTTTGATATAGGAAAAAGGCTCTTCCAAAAGGCTCTTGATAAAATGTTAAAACAACTTTTATTAGATAATACATTTTTTATTCGCCCGTATACGGGACATATTATGGTATACCGTTGTCTGTCCGTCCGTCGTCAACATGTCGGATAATAACTCAAAAACACTTTAACCAATTTGCATTAAACTTTGGTGAATTGTTTATATCTATTGACATGAGCTCCTTTCAATTTTTATAAATTTTAGATTTTACTTTTCCAAGTTGTTGGGTTTTATTCCTCAAAAAAAGGAGGATTTTCCAGTTTTCTGACAATAACTCAAAAATGCTATGAGCAGTTTTCATGAAACTTTGGTGAATTGTTCATATCTTTTGACGTAAGCTCAATTTTGATTTTTATAAATTTTAGATTTTACGTTTCCGAGTTATGATTGATTGATTGATTGATTGTTGGTTGCTTAACGTCCAGTGGCAAATATTTCATGCATATTCAGGACGAGAACAAATTAACAATAAATACAATAGGTAGGTTCTGTAATAGAGGCGTCTGGGGTTGAGGTCGGAGAAATTTAGACTGCCACGGGAAATGAGGGTATATTGGATAGGGACAGAAATTTAGCTTTGCAACAGGTCACCTACGGACCCCTCAAAGAGTTGTTGCAAAGGTTCTTGACGTGCAAAGAGCGTGGCACTCTCTTTACAGAGCAGTTTTCATGAAACTTTGGTGACTGGTTTATATATATTAAAATGACCTCCCTTCAGTTTTTTATAAATTTCTGATATGACATTGAGGAGTTATGGAACTTTATTCTTTGAAAAAGCGTTGGGCGTATCATGCGCTCATGGCACAGTTCTTTATTAGACAATAGTCCTAAGACATTTCTTATGCCATTAGTATGGAACATCCTTCTTACTGTAAATGACAAAATAAGAATGATTGATAATGTTCCATTTTGTTTCAGAGGTGACAGGACAGAGACAGGACATATTTTAGGTAGAGCCACAAATCTTGGTCCTATAACAGCACCAGAGAGGCAGTTGAACAGAGCATCTTTTTCTATACTTAGATTACTGACTCATATCTCTATGTACATTGGAGCAAATAATAATATACAGGTAATTTAAACGGTATCTGTCTAAATTTGTCACATAGTAAAATTGAGTGCAAAAGTCTGCAACTTTTTTTAAGCACTTTTATAATCAGAAACAAAGTCTGAATGCTTTTGCATTTCTGAATTGATAACAAACATTGTTCACTTTCTAAGCCTTTAACCTCTAGTAGACCCCAAAGAAGTTAAGAAAATATCTCCAGTGGTAAATTATGACCACAAAAGCATGGTGCATTTAGTGGTACATTTTTTTTTTTCAGAATAGAAAAATACAAATAAAACATGAATCACCTGCATTTCACACCAAAATGAGTGGTGAATGTAAGACATCCAATAAAATTGAGAATGGAAATGGGGAATGTGTCAAAGAGACAACAACACGACCAAAGAGCATAAAACAGCCCAAGGACACCAATTGGTCTTCAACACAGCGAGAAAATCCCACACCCAAAGGTGGGCTTCAGCTAGCCCCTAAACAAAAATGTGTACTATTTCAGTAAAAATGGACGTCACACTAAACTACGAAACATATAAATGAACTAGAGATGTCAACGAGTATCGATTACCAAAATGATACTCGACTGATCGGTTTCCTGATAGAATGTTGTTGCTTTCTTAAGTTTAATAAAAAAAATATTTTTATTGAGAGTGCCTCCCGGGAAATTATATATTAATTAAAATTAATAAAAATTAAAATACGATTCGAATGTTAGCGTTTAACTGTCATTTAAAATTCCTCCAAACAGAGGTACGTGTAGGATATATGAGGCTTACACGTTTAACTAATTTTAATCCCCCACTTCTGTACCGTCAGAGAATATATTTTCATCAGCGGTACTGTTAGTTACCTAAAAAATTTAGAAATTGCTACGCCCACGAAAAAGTTGACAAGATAATATTTTTGAATAAGAACAAATTCGTTGCACCCTGTAACGACCCTCAGGAAATGATTAATGGCATCAGTAAGTTCTAATCATCACCCCTTTGTTGATCATTAAATGTGTTTTTTTACGGTTCTTAAATACTGTTGTTTGAGTAATATTTTTTTCTATAGATATTAATCAATTACTTGATAAGATTATTTCCAGTTTACATAATTAGTACATGTAGTAAATGAGCTATTGATTATGGTATTAACTTCCTTGGACTATTATCTAGTCCTAAGTGATAATGTTGAGGGTTTTACTATCATAAGACAACGACCCACAATGAATAAAATAGGTATAAGTTAGTGTTTCCATTTTGAAAATGTTTTACCGAGCGAGTACTCCAGTATCGCTCGGTAAATCCAACGAGTAATCAATTAGTAAATCTTCACCGAGTTGACATCCCTAAAATGAACTAAAATTTAAAAAAAAACATACAAGACTAACAAAGGCCAGAGGCTCCTGACTTGGGACAGGCGCAAAAATGTGGCAGGGTTAAACATGTTTTGTTAGATCTCAACCCTCCTCCTACACCTCTAGCCAATGTAGAATAAACAAACACACAGTAAAACTCAGTTTAAAAGAAGTCTGATGTCAGAATAGGTAACAGAAGAAACTAAGCAAAATGACAATGATAAACATAAATTAACAAAGGACTACAAGCAGTTACTGAAATGCCAGCTCCAGGCCTCAATTAAACTGATTGAAAGATTATGTCTTCATCATATGAAAATTGGGTTAAGTATCATACATCATAAAATATATGAGAAGAACATATCCCGTATCATGCCAACAACTATTTTTAGAATAAATGTGTTTATTTCCGATGCAAAGACCCTATGAGTAAATCAATATTTATTCCTAAATATGCCTTCTTCAATGACCTGACAACTTGTATTTTTTGCTGTTTCCCATTCCCTCAGCACCACACATATCAAAAGTTAAAAAGTTTCAAAAATACCATAAGAAGTGGTAACATTAGAATAGTATATGTATATTTATTTTTCAGGCTGTTGGTCTGTCCATCAAACCCAATATAGAGGAGACTGAAGTTGGAAGATATATACTGGAACATATTGACCTTGATATGACCTCTATACAGAATATCCTGGGTAAAAATAAGGATGATATATTGTTATTAATTCATCATCTGCTGGCGAGGATGATGGAAGAACACACTATGGCAGTTATAGGTAGGATTATTTTATCACAGTACCGGTATATGCTAATATATGAATTGTGGAATTTATCAGCATCTTCACGACAGTTATTATACCCAAGCAAATGGACTTTTGGGGATATTGAGGAATTACCCTGCCGATCTATCCATTAGTCTGTCAGTCTGTGCCTTTGTCTGTATATGAATTTGTCTGTCTGTTCATGTGTCTATGTGCCTTGTTATAACCACTTCTAAAAGTCGGTACAGATGGTGATAACCCTACACAATTGTAGAACACTAAGGATGTGCATATAGGAAATTAATCCTGGATCTACATGTCAAAGGGAAAGATAACCCAACTGACTTATTTGGATATTGTAATATGTGGTAATTGTCTCTTGTAAGCACAAAACCTTCAAAAGAAAGGACAGATATTGATGACACTTTACTCTGTTGTAGAAAGCTACCTGAGAATATAGATATAAATAAACTTCTTGTCCAATATGCTTAAGGGGAGATAATCAAATTTGTGGGAATGGGGGTAACCTTTACAAGTTCACTCACAGTTCTAGATAGGTTAGTGATTATCTTTGATACTATACATTTACTTTTTTTGAAAGTTTGACAATGACAAAAAATTCATTAATCAAGAAAATTATATGTTGAGTGAAAGTTTAGCAATTTTAACTTATAGTTCTATTAAATTTCAGGAGAAAATTATCCAGCAGATATGTGTGGATTGTTAAACAAAAAGTCCAGATCAAAATGGGAAGAAGAATTTGCCAAGAAATATATAACTCCAGTATTGCAGGTAAATAATTATCAGAGAATACAGTGTTTAAACTTAAAATTGAAAAGTTGGTATTGCCAAGCCTTAATATTTCTAAGTGTTCAAGATTAGTTTTTTTTATTGCACTTAAGACAATTTTGTATTTATTTTAATTGATGTTTTACTGCTTACAGAATATGGATCAAGTCTTAAAGCAAAGCAATGGGAAAATACAGAAAGATCAGAGACTTGGTAAGGCTTTAGTTATTAGAAACAGTATGGTAAAAAAAAAGGGGGAAGAACTATTCTGTGTTATTTCTAAATATTTAAATGATGAGCTTAACATTATAAAACTCATGGTCTGAAGGAGGGGGTAAACTGTATGACCCATGTCTGTCACTCTGTCCCATGAAATTTCTGTCACATTTTTCTTATGGAACTTCAATTCAAAAATTTCTGTTCTATACCATTTGATGCATTTTCATTTTCATATTCTTTAACTTCCTGTTTAGTGAAAAACATATTTGTTGTTACACATAATCCCCATGTATGAAATTTTCCTCACATTTTCCCTAGGAACAACAAATCAGAGCACCCTAAAATTTGATATAAAGATTCATATGAACATGTTCTACTCTGTGACGTATTTCAAGGTTAACTTGTGGTCAAGTCTGTGTGGCAGATATTATAGGCAATAGGTCAACTATAGTTGGTGTCTGGAATGATTGAATGAAGTACATGTCTATCTGGATGGCTCATTGGACCTTGACCTCATTTTCATGGTTCATTGGGTTTAAATGAATTGATGCATAATTGACTGCTCTTTTTGGAATATTTTTTTTCTCTAGGTGCGGATGCACTATTACAGATACTGTATGAAACGGACAAAGTACAAGAAAATCAGGATATCCTAAAACTACAAGAAATACCTGGAGTATGGAGATACAGGGATCTTATATCAATCAATCATCTCGGACAAAATCTAGAAAGATCAGAGGAGAAACTACCTGTACTCAGACTTTTCCTGAAAGAGGTAATAGTTGTAAATGAAACACAGAATTCTTATATTTAAAAAATAATTCCTGGGTGCTTGAGTTAATATTGATTTTACCACGGGTTGGCCTTTTATGCTAAATATTTTACCACAAGTAATAGCAATGGGTAAAATACAAGCATAAAGGCTCACCTTGTGGAACAAAAATCAATATAAATTCCACATGAATTATTTCTATTCTAAAAGAATAGACAGCAATTCTTCTCGACCCAAAAGCTGTAGGTGAAGACAAATGTTTTATGTCCCAATAATTGAACACACTATTGATATTAACAAAACAATAGACAATTTGTTTCCCATTAGAGAAGTATTATCTTTTATGCATCAAAACATATCCTTTAATGAAGTTGCCACCAATATTACAAAGGTTAGTTTCTTCTTTAATCAGTACTATTGCAATTAACATTGTGTATGATATTTCAGCCATAGTTTACTTGTTTGTACCCTCCAAATCTGTTGCATACCACAAACTTAAAGAATGTTGACATCTTTGGACCTATTTTTTTTACAGGAACATCATCTTAGAGCTATAAGATTTATACCAAGTATAATGAGATTACAGAGAATGTTAATACAGAAATATGGTAGAAAGTTAGACAGAGCAGAAGCTACAACTCTCAAAATACAAGATGTTAAACAGGAAATGGAAAAAGGTTTGTATGTGTGTAAAACATTTCCAAGTTTAAGTAAAAGACAAAAGATTAAAAATTAACATACAGTCATATTCATTAAACTCTTCTAACACAGATAAACAGGATTAGTGTAATGTTTAAGGGATAGTTGTACATTTTTATTAGAGATATATAATATTATCAGCAATTTGTACATTTTCCCATTGATTCTTCTGCCAAATATTTTTTTGGATTGCAGACAGAACCTGAAACTTAAAACTGTTAGGCGCTGATGCCATATTACAATGCATCCACGTCACATTTTTCATGTTCTTCCGCCTCATTTTATCAGTGAAATGCAAATAATGACATTCACACAAATGAACAAGTTTCCTTACATTTTTGATGCATAAAAAAGTTGTTATAACAACTTCATCTAATATATTATCTTTTACCTAAAGAAACATATTGACAAGACAAATTGCTGATAAAAGAATAATAGCATTATATTTATTTAACTTGACTTCATTAGAATCAATATATAAGCTCACCTTTGCGGGCTTGCTTGAGATTCTTGCTGATAAAGTCTGTATCAAAAATAAAAATGCCATTATTCTATATGTATTATTTTGTAGGGAAGTGGATACTTTGAGGTGATTTAAGGATATTGTGTATTACTTTTATGTCAACATTTTCAGAATATCGGATATTTCAACTCTGGTATACAAAGACTTGCATGAAAACATTTTTTTTTTCGTTGCAGATAGAAAAATTGATGAATTTGAACAATTGTTGAAGGATTTTACAGAAGCATGGAGTATTGTAAAAGAATCACTTAAAACAACTGGTAAGAATAGATAGAAGTCCAGATTATTAGAGGCTATTTAAACTTAAGTCTAAGTTACGGAGAACAGATAGACTTAATACCATTAGTTATTTGTAGCATTATGGATTATTGTTATAGAGTTATGTCTCATAGGGCACCATTATTGCTGAATTTGTCATATATATGCTAATCTAGACAACCATTGACGAGGTTCTTACTTGAGACTAGTACTGTTTGGTCTGTAGGGTCATTGTTATGTATGCCTGTCTGAGAGAGTTCATTAGACCAATACCTCATTTTCTTTTTTCTCTTTTTTTATAGAAAGGGTCTAAATATGTCACACTGTTTTCCACATCTTCATATTGCATTCATAAGAGTGAAAAGTTCGTAGAAAAAATATGATATTGATGAAAATTTGTAGTTTGACGATTAAGTTTATGATTTTTCCCTGTATCTTTTCAGTTTGCCTGTTAGAGAACAATGTATTGGCCATTGACAAATCGTACTTCAGATCAGCAATATCAGATGACACACCTATATCATACCTCATACCAACATATCGTGATGCTGGACTCTGTTCCTATATCTTGTTATATTTCTTGTTAAAGAAGCAAAACATGTTCATAGAACAGTACTGTTATCAGAGAAGACTCTCGTAAGTATGAATAGTTAATATTTCATTGAACAGTACTGTTATCAAAGAAGACTCTCGTAAGTATGAATAGTTAATATTTCATTGAACAGTACTGTTATCGAGGAAGACTCTCGTAAGTATGAATAGTTAATATTTCATTGAACAGTACTGTTATCAAAGGAGACTCTCGTAAGTAAGTATAGTTAATATTTCATTGTACAGTACTGTTATCAAAGAAGACTCTCGTAAGTATGAATATTTAATATTCCATAAAACAGTACTGTTATCAAAGGAGACTCTCGTAAGTATGAATATTTAATATTCCATAAAACAGTACTGTTATCAAAGGAGACTCTCGTAAGTATGAATATTTAATATTCCATAAAACAGTACTGTTATCAAAGGAGACTCTCGTGAGTATGAATAGTAAATATTTCATTGAACAGTACTGTTATCAAAGAAGACTCTCATAAGTATGAATATTTAATATTCCATAAAACAGTACTGTTATCAAAGGAGACTCTCGTAAGTATGAATATTTAATATTTCATTGAACAGTACTGTTATCAAAGAAGACTCTCATAAGTATGAATATTTAATATTCCATAAAACAGTACTGTTATCAAAGGAGACTCTCTTAAGTATGAATAGTAAATATTTCATTGAACAGTACTGTTATCAAAGAAGACTCTCGTAAGTATGAATAGTAAATATTTCATTGAACAGTACTGTTATCAAAGAAGACTCTCTCAAGTATGAATAGTAAATATTTCATTGAACAGTACTGTTATCAAAGAAGACTCTCGTAAGTATGAATATTTAATATTCCATAAAACAGTACTGTTATCAAAGGAGACTCTCGTAAGTATGAATAGTAAATATTTCATTGAACAGTACTGTTATCAAAGAAGACTCTCGTAAGTATGAATATTTAATATTCCATAAAACAGTACTGTTATCAAAGGAGACTCTTGTAAGTATGAATAGTAAATATTTCATTGAACAGTACTGTTATCAAAGAAGACTCTCGTAAGTATGAATATTTAATATTCCATAAAACAGTACTGTTATCAAAGGAGACTCTCGTAAGTATGAATAGTAAATATTTCATTGAACAGTACTGTTATCAAAGAAGACTCTCTCAAGTATGAATAGTAAATATTTCATTGAACAGTACTGTTATCAAAGAAGACTCTCGCAAGTATGAATATTTAATATTCCATAAAACAGTACTGTTATCAAAGGAGACTCTCGTAAGTATGAATAGTAAATATTTCATTGAACAGTACTGTTATCAAAGAAGACTCTCGTAAGTATGAATATTTAATATTCCATAAAACAGTACTGTTATCAAAGGAGACTCTCGTAAGTATGAATAGTAAATATTTCATTGAACAGTACTGTTATCAAAGAAGACTCTCATTAGTATGAATATTTAATATTTCATATAACAGTACTGTTATCAAAGAAGACTCTCGTAAGTATGAATAGTTAATATTTCATTGAACAGAACTGTTATCGAGGAAGACTCTCGTAAGTATGAATATTTAATATTCCATAAAACAGTACTGTTATCAAAGGAGACTCTCGTAAGTATGAATAGTAAATATTTCATTGAACAGTACTGTTATCAAAGAAGACTCTCATAAGTATGAATATTTAATATTCCATAAAACAGTACTGTTATCAAAGGAAACTCTCGTAGGTATGAATAGTAAATATTTCATTGAACAGTACTGTTATCAAAGAAGACTCTCGTAAGTATGAATATTTAATATTCCATAAAACAGTACTGTTATCAAAGGAGACTCTCGTAAGTATGAATAGTAAATATTTCATTGAACAGTACTGTTATCAAAGAAGACTCTCGTAAGTATGAATAGTAAATATTTCATTGAACAGAACTGTTATCAAAGAAGACTCTCATTAGTATGAATATTTAATATTTCATAAAACAGTACTGTTATCAAAGGAGACTCTCGTAAGTATGAATATTTAATATTCCATAAAACAGTACTGTTATCAAAGAAGACTCTCGTAAGTATGAATAGTTAATATTTCATTGAACAGTACTGTTATCGAGGAAGACTCTCGTAAGTATGAATAGTTAATATTTCATTAAACAGTACTGTTATCAAAGAAGACTCTCTCAAGTATGAATAGTTAATATTTCATTGAACAGTACTGTTATCGAGGAAGACTCTCGTAAGTATGAATAGTTAATATTTCATAAAACAGTACTGTTATCAAAGAAGACTCTCATTAGTATGAATATTTAATATTTCATATAACAGTACTGTTATCAAAGAAGACTCTCGTAAGTATGAATAGTTAATATTTCATTGAACAGAACTGTTATCGAGGAAGACTCTTGTAAGTATGAATATTTAATATTCCATAAAACAGTACTGTTATCAAAGTAGACTCTTGTAAGTATGAATAGTAAATATTTCATTGAACAGTACTGTTATCAAAGAAGACTCTCGTAAGTATGAATATTTAATATTCCATAAAACAGTACTGTTATCAAAGAAGACTCTCATTAGTATGAATAGTAAATATTTCATTGTACAGTACTGTTATCAAAGGAGACTCTCGTAAGTATGAATATTTAATATTCCATAAAACAGTACTGTTATCAAAGAAGACTCTCATTAGTATGAATATTTAATATTTCATTGTACAGTACTGTTATCAAAGGAGACTCTCATTAGTATGAATATTTAATATTTCATTGTACAGTACTGTTATCAAAGGAGACTCTCGTAAGTATGAATATTTAATATTCCATAAAACAGTACTGTTATCAAAGGAGACTCTCGTAAGTATGAATAGTAAATATTTCATTGATAAGTACTGTTATCAAAGAAGACTCTCATTAGTATGAATATTTAATATTTCATTGTACAGTACTGTTATCAAAGGAGACTCTCGTAAGTATGAATATTTAATATTCCATAAAACAGTACTGTTATCAACGAAGACTCTCATTAGTATGAATATTTAATATTTCATAAAACAGTACTGTTATCAAAGAAGACTCTCGTAAGTATGAATAGTTAATATTTCATTGAACAGTACTGTTATCGAGGAAGACTCTCGTAAGTATGAATAGTTAATATTTCATTGTACAGTACTGTTATCAAAGGAGACTCTCGTAAGTATGAATAGTTAATATTTCATTGTACAGTACTGTTATCAAAGAAGACGCTCGTAAATATGAATAGTTAATTTTCCATTGAACAGTACTGTTATCGAGGAAGACTCTCGTAAGTAAGTATAGTTAATATTCCATTGAACAATACTGTTGTCGAGGAAGACTCTCGTAAGTATGAATATTTAATATTTCATAGAACAGTACTGTTGTGGAAATTATGAATTTTTAATATTTTATTGTATTCTAAAAACTACTAAAAAATTCCTTATGACTTAATGTTATAAAACCTCCATTTTGTCAACAAAAGACACTAAAGAATCATTTTATTACTGATACTGTTTTTGTAATAAATCGTAAGCAAATAAACGGTGCTTTCAGTCAACATGAAACATGTACTATGGACACATTCTTGTTTTAAAGACAGTCTTCCATGAACCTTTCAGTGAGAAAAGGGACATTTTTGCACCATTAGATGTTCAGTTATTGCTTCTTTGAACTTTGTTTTGAATTTTGTGCTATTTTTTTAGGGCAGAAACTCTTCCTCAAGTTCATGTGAAAGACATATCTTCAGCCCATTTAATCAGTTACCATCCAGACAAAGACCTGTTACCCATGGTGTTGGCTAACTGTAACTACACATTTGAAGTGGGACAGGGAACCAGGATAGAATATAACTTTACCAATCTTGAGAGACAACTGATGGACAGATTCCTCTTCTCAAAGTCAATTATAACTGGAATAGCAGAGGTCAGAATTTTAATTGTTTGTAGTTCATACTTCCCTTGTCAGAGCAATCCCCTTCACTTCACATCACATTTATTTATCTATTAATTGATCTCCTTGTCAACTTTTAATGACCCAGAAATTAAACTTGGCAGTAGTTCATGCTGCAATGTTCCCAGCATTAGACTACCATGTAAAAAGGCTATATTTCATTTAAGAATTGAATGCTTTTTTTTGTAAATTTATTGGGGTGTAAAAGCATTGACCGAAGTACATTTTGTATGAAGTGCGGAAGCGCACGGTCAACGCTTTTACAGAACCCTGTAAAATTACTGAAAGAAGCATTCAATACTTATGATTACATTTTATTGCTAGGATCATAAAAACACTATTATGTTATATAGATACAATGGATAAGCGTGGATTCTTGAAAAAGAAACCATGAGCCCAGAGGGCGAATGGTTTGTTTTTCATGAATCTACGCTTATCCATTGTATCTATAACTTAAACTATTGTGTTAATTTCTTTTCAAAATTAAAGCCTTTTCTTAATTAGATGGTATTGTAAGTGAGTTTAAATAACCATGTTATCGTGTCCAACGATGCATTGATAAATCTCAGATCACAATTAATTGGTTAACAAAATACAAATATAACACTTCTACCTTTAAAGATCTTTATATTACCAGGCATATGAATATTATCTGTTTATACAAAATAAGACATATTCGAAATAATTCTAATAAAATTGAAAATGGAAATGGAGAACGTGTCACAGAGACAACAACCCGACCAAAAAGCATATATAAAGTATATATAATAAGTATGTTATCGAAATTTTTCTAGCACTCTAGGCACATCACGATTTTCTCGCATAGGAATTTGCAACAAACCTTTGTAAAATTATGTAGTAAAACAGATGAAATCATACTATATTTATAAAACAAAAATTGACAAATAAAATGTAATAATTTTTGTTTTAAACATGTGAAATAGCCAATAATAATAAAAAAAAAACGGTAAAACTCGCTATTATTACAAAAATATCCACTATAACATGCAAAATTAGAAAAAAACCAGGGTAACTTAAGAATTGGAACAACAGAGAGAATACAGGGATTCGAACCTAAACCGACAAATCCCTATCTTTAACTCATTGATTTTAACCATGCTAACCTCGCGGCTACCAACTCATACTATACGACTGCCTATTGTGTCTATATAAAGGTACAAGCCCTGTGTGTCCGATGAACCGATGTATATCAGATGTTTATTTAAATATATAAAATAGACATCTATAATGTAACCCATCGGTAGCCGAGAGGTTTCGTGGATGTGTTGATGTCAGTCACACATAACATATTTCAAGGAAGGGTTCGATTCCCAGTGAAGGCATATAACAATTACAAAAATTAAAGGTAAGTTTTTAAATTAATTCCATTAGTGAACAGAAATCAGTAAATTAGCCAATTCAAACTTAATGAAATTAGGCACACAAAGGAAACAATTGAATATAATTTGGTGAGTTAATTTCAGCGGCAGATTTAGGAAGCGTTGATTCTAGAAAAAGAATCCACGGTAAATGAATAGGCTGACGTCACCACAATGGTTTAACAAGTTTTTCTGTACCTGTGCACTTTATTGTGGAAGCTCGTGTCATCAGGAATGATAAATTTCATTCTGAAATGAAGGTTAATATCAGAATGACGCAAGATTGCTGTTAGCCAATCAAAATAACGTATTATTGAAACATATATGTAATGTTATTATAACTTGGTATTGATTTGAGCAAAATTAAAAATGTAGCTTGAAAAAGTAGATAATGAATGTGTCTGCTTTAGTAAATTTTGTTATACATTATTTGTGTTCTGCATTATCTTCACTTTTATACACAAGGGAGATAACTAGAAACACTGGAGGGTTTTCCTTTAATTTGGGTTTTCTATAGATAAGTGATTAATATGGCTAAAATAATACCTTTTAAAATACTGAGGTAGTTCAAATTTATTTTGAAAAATGATTTGTATTTCAGATAGAAACAATTACATACAGATCAGAATCTACAAATGCTGTTGTTTTTAAGACTTTATGCGACAAGGTCCAACAAGTAAGTAATATGATATATTCTGCAAGAACAGTATGGTTTGTTTAAGCCATATGACTATAAATAAGTCTCTAAACTGGACTCTATGTAAACTGGACACATGTGTAAACTGGATACCTGTGTTAACTGAACACTGTAAATTTGACACCTTTGTAAACTGGATACTTGTGTTAACTGGACACCTTTCTAAACTAAACAGATTATTTGTGTACAATGAGTAGTCATCAGTAAATTAATCTGTACAAAAGGAACACCTGCCTAACCAAACAAAATGTCCAGACAAGGAGGCAATAGAATTAGTCAGATTCTACTGATAATGTTGAAAAAAATCCATTAAATGTTAATTTACCATAATTATGTTAATCACTGTATATTAACATTTCTGTATTTGACAGGAAAGATTAAGTCCAGCAGTAAGAAGTCAGATTTGTGCTGAGATACGTATGAAGCATGCAGCTGATTTGTGGGAAAGCTTGGATAAGTTAGACATTGCCATTAGTTTCCTAAAGTCTGTAGGTTCAGATCCTGACAATTCACTCAGTGACTTCATCACAAATACTCTCAAGATAGATAATCCATTTTCAAGTCCAAAGGTGAGGGTCAATATAGTAATAGCTAAGTTTAATAACCTACCAAAAATGATTGTTTACAGGTAGGTTATTTTTAAATTGACATGTGATCAGTTCGATTTGATCTACACCGTTTAAAGAAATGAATGGATTGATTTAAAGATGATGAAACAAACATAAAAAGATGAGATGCCTAAGTATTCCTTTACAACATGCATTTTGAAAAAGATGTCATTTTAAAGTAGCAACTAGAAATCTTATAATCAGTAATACAATGATTTCCATTAAAAGTTGCTTAGGTTGTAAAAAATATGATATGGAACCCTATTACTTTTTACCTGGAATAACACTAAATTTTAAATACCTGCTCTTTTCCTGCTTTGAATTTTGATAAATGAGATTGAGAATAATTTATTTTAAATACGGTGTCAAACCTGCTATAAAGGTCACCTCTTTTAAGCAAAAACCTGTCTTGGCAGGTCACCTTCTTTTTTTTCCGCTGTAGTAATGCCTTACCATTTTAAACCTCAAATCAAAGGTCAGTTTTCTCTGGTCTCAAGGGTGACCTTTATATACAGGTTTGACTGTACTTTGTAAATGAGCTTCAGACATATTACTTGGTATCCAAACAAACAAAAAAAAAACATATATTTTATGGAATTCCATATAATAAGTTGTTCAGCATTAAATGTTTAAATTATTATAGGCACAACAGTCCAGCAGGTGTAAGCATACCATGTCATTATGGATGACATTAGCATTGGAAAGAGCCAAAGAAATAGCTAAAAATAATAGAGTAAGTGTATGTTACCATTTTTAAGTCTCAGCTTGTGTAAAGGATATTTTGCAACTTCAAAAGCCCAAAAGTTAAAAAATTTAATTTAAGACTTCACATTCTGAAATTTCTGTCTGTCTGTCTGTCTGTTGGTCTGCAAGTGCATCTCTCCTTAAACAGCTTGATAGATTTGGGTGAAACTTTACATAGTTGAAGAACACTACATTAGTATATGCATAAAGGAATAGAATTTATTTTACATGCTAAAGGGGAGATAATCTAGGGCCCTTTATAGCTTGCTGTTCAGTGTGAGCCTAGGCTCTGTGTTGAAGGCTGACTTTGACCTATAATTGTTTACTTTTTATAGGCCGCAAAAAAAATTTGCGGTCGTATATTGGTATGACGTTGGCGTCATCGTCATCGTCATCCGAAGACACATTGGTTTTCACACTCTAACTTTAGTTTAAGTTAATGGATCTCTATGAAATTTTACCATAAGGTTCATTACCGCAAAAGGAAGGTTGGGATTGATTTTGGGGGTTATGGTACCAACAGTTAAGGAATTAGGGGCCAAAAAGGGGTAAAAAATAAGCATTTTTCTAGTTTCCAGACAATAACTTCAAGTGTTCAAGTGTATGGATCTCTCTGAAATTGTACTGCAAGGTACCATACCACAAAGGGAAGGCTGGGATTGATTTTTGGGGTAATTGCTTCAAAATTTTTGGAATTAGGGGCAAAAAACAAGCATTTTTCTAGTTCCATGACAATAACTTGTGTGTACTTGTATGGATCTTTATGAAATTGTACTACAAGGTTCCATATCACAAAGGGAAAGCTGGGTTGGAGTTTGGGGGTAATTGCCCTAAACGTTTAGGAATTTGGGGCCAAAAAACAAGCATTTTTCTAGTTTCCAGACAATAACTTGTGTTCAAGTGTATGGATCTCTCTGAAATTGTACTGCAGGTACCATACCACAAAGGGAAGGCTGGGATTGAGTTTGGGGGTGATGAATCATAAGGGGGTTCAAAAAATTGGAGAGGGGGGATTTTTCTTTCATTAAAATTTTCCATTTTAAATTGGTTAGTTCTGATTTATATATAAAAGCAAATAATAATGACATGGTTTGAATAGGTAAATTAAAAAATTTTAAGTTCTTAGACCACATTCATTCTGTGTCAGAAACCTGTGCTGTGTCAAATATTTAATCACAATCCAAATTCAGTGCTGTATCAAGCTTGAATGTTGTGTCCATACTTGCCCCAACTGTTCAGGGTTCGACCTCTGCAGTCGTATCAAGCTGCGCCCAGCGGAAGCATTTTATTATACATTGTGACTTGGATGGAGAGTTGTCTCATTGGCACTTATACTACATCTTCTTATTTATATTTATTGACTTTATGTAACAATATGTGGACATAGTCTCTTGTAAACGTAAATCCTCCTAAACAACTTGACAGACATTGATTAAACTTAAGAGTTTCATATAAAAAACTAAGGGTTATTCCTAGACTAAAAATAGCCATGGAGGGAAATCCCTTTTTATTTACATAATTGGTGAAAAAGTATCATGTTTTTTGTATTTGATTGTAAAAATTAGTTAATTTAAGCTTTCAATTAAAACAGGTTGAATCATTTAAATAATTTTAAAAATTATATTAACTATACATGTTTTAAGGGGAGACAACACTGTAAACTTCCTGTTCTTTGGTAGTGAAAACTGAAAACTTATTTGTAGCTCTTTTCGAAGCAGGCGAAAATATCCGGAAACGAGAATTTTTTAAAAGACCAGGTAAAAATCTATGAAATTCATACAGTTTTGATTATCTGAAATGTGGTTTTAGGGTTTATATAAGTCAGCTGTACAGTGTGATGTGTTTTCAGATTCATCATTCAACAACTTCCTGTTTACCGAACACGTGTATCCTTTTTACACATGATAGCCAAGTTGAAAATTTTCGTCACATTTTTCTCAGTAACTACAATGCAAGGATTTCTGAAATTTGGTTTCAGGGTTTATATGAGTCAGCTATATCGTGTGATGTGTTTTCAAATTCATCACTCAACAACTTCCTGTTTACCTTATACTTTTAGCAGGGCAGGGGTATCATTAGTGAGCAGTAGCTCACAGATTCACTTGTTTTTATTTCATAATAAACTAGATAAAATTCTGATTCTAGTGATATCTAGTTTTATACAAGTATCTTTATTAACAATACCACCACTAAGGGTCACTTATGCATGGTCCCTCAAAATATGACTTCATAGAAAAAACTGTTGATTGCACCCTTATGTAGTTGTAGAACACAACATTAGTATATGCATAAAGGAATATATGCTTAAGGGGAGATAATCACTTATTATGTCAATACAACAGTATGTTGTTATAGTCTCTTGTAAACGCAAATCATCCTAATCAACTTGACAGATATTGATAAAACTTTACAGTTGTAAAACACTACCTGAGATAATAGAATGTGCAGGTTGTGGGTTTCCTTTCATCAATTCTTTAACAAACCTAGTTGAAATGCAGCTTAAAAATAAACCTTGTATTTTTTTCCATTGTGCAAACATTGTAATTATAAATAAGGGGTTGGACAGGAATAAGGGAACCATTGAATGAGGGTTTGGAAGCATGAGTTAGGGGCAGGAACCAGGACTTCTCCATATATTTTACATATTAATCAAAAGTTTTTGATTTTTGCCTGAGATCTTATGGGACTTATCTCAAATCTTCTTTATTTTCCATTGGTAGATTCCAGATATCACTATATCTAAACGTTTAAGCAACCTTTTGCAGTGTTGATGCAATAAAATCATTAAACTCAGGGTTTTTTTTTAAATCAAAGAGAGTTATCTCCTTGTAGCGAAAAATTCCAGCTTATATGAAATATTTTTATTACATTGTAACTTGAAAGAACAATATCAATAAACTAAAGCAAACTTGATTTGAATACATCGAAACCAGTTTTGACGTTATCACGATAGAGCTCTGGCAGCTAGTTCTGCTGTATTAGCTTTGATAACCCTGGAAATTACTTTCTAATCATTTATTATTTTTTATATTAGATGCAAGTTTTGAGGAATTCTTATTAAGTAAGTTTAGAATAAAAAAATAACCATGTTTTACATTGCAAATATTAAAATTGGTTTGTGGAGACCCAACTTGATATGATAAATCATTCTACTGAAAATTTCAGAATGAAGCATCATTAACATTTTTGCCTTTCCTTTCCAGAAAGCCTTTGAAGGAATCTCAGAAAACTTCAAGAAAAATTTAACAGAGGAACAAAGAAAAGTTATTTTTGAAATAATTAGCAGTTTACCCATAGAACAAATAGACACATTGGTGGAAGTGATATTTGAATGTATTGTATTCAAAGTAGACGTTCCACAGGATGATGAAGAGGAAGAATTGTTCTCTAAAGTCAGGTATGTATTGAAGCATCTAGAAATGAGATAGTATATGTAAGAATTGTTCTCTGAAGTCAGGTATGTATTGAAGCATCACGAAATGAGGCTGTATATGTAAGAATTGTTCTCTGAAGTCAGGTATGTATTGAAGCATCAAGAAATGAGGCTGTATATGTAAGAATTGTTCTCTAAAGTCTGGTATGTATTGAAGCATCAAGAAATGAGGCTGTATATGTAAGAATTGTTCTCTAAAGTCAGGTATGTATTGAAGCATCAAGAAATGAGGCTGTTTATGTAAGAATTGTTCTCTGAAGTCAGGTATGTATTGAAGCATCAAGAAATGAGATCGTATATGTAAGAATTGTTCTCTGAAGTCAGGTATGTATTGAAGCATCAAGAAATGAGATCGTATATGTAAGAATTGTTCTCTGAAGTCAGGTATGTATTGAAGCATCAAGAAATGAGGTTGTATATGTAAGAATTGTTCTCTAAAGTCAGGTATGTATTGAAGCATCAAGAAATGAGGCTGTATATGTAAGAATTGTTCTCTAAAGTCAGGTATGTATTGAAGCATCAAGAAATGAGGCTGTATATGTAAGAATTGTTCTCTAAAGTCAGGTATGTATTGAAATATCAAGAAATGAGGCTGTATATGTAAGAATTGTTCTCTAAAGTCAGGTATGTATTGAAGCATCAAGAAATGAGGCTGTATATGTAAGAATTGTTCTCTAAAGTCAGGTATGTATTGAAGCATCAAGAAATGAGGTTGTATATGTAAGAATTGTTCTCTAAAGTCAGGTATGTATTGAAATATCAAGAAATGAGGCTGTATATGTAAGAATTGTTCTCAAAGTCAGGTATGTATTGAAGCATCAAGAAATGAGGCTGTATATGTAAGAATTGTTCTCTAAAGTCAGGTATGTATTGAAGCATTAAGAAATGAGACTGTATATGTAAGAATTGTTCTCTAAAGTCAGGTATGTATTGAAGCATCAAGAAATGAGGTTGTATATGTAAGAATTGTTCTCTGAAGTCAGGTATGTATTGAAGCATCAAGAAATGAGGCTGTATATGTAAGAATTGTGCTATAAAGTCAGGTATGTATTGAAGCATCAAGAAATGAGGTTGTATATGTAAGAATTGTTCTCTAAAGTCAGGTATGTATTGAAGCATTAAGAAATGAGGCTGTATATGTAAGAATTGTTCTCTAAAGCCAGGTATGTATTGAAGCATTAAGAAATGAGGCTGTATATGTAAGAATTGTTCTCTAAAGTCAGGTATGTATTGAAGCATTAAGAAATGAGGCTGTATATGTAAGAATTGTTCTCTAAAGTCAGGTATGTATTGAAGCATCAAGAAATGAGGTTGTATATGTAAGAATTGTTCTCTAAAGTCAGGTATGTATTGAAATATCAAGAAATGAGGCTGTATATGTAAGAATTGTTCTCTAAAGTCAGGTATGTATTGAAGCATTAAGAAATGAGACTGTATATGTAAGAATTGTTCTTTAAAGTCAGGTATGTATTGAAGCATTAAGAAATGAGGCTGTATATGTAAGAATTGTTCTCTAAAGTCAGGTATGTATTGAAGCATTAAGAAATGAGACTGTATATGTAAGAATTGTTCTCTAAAGTCAGGTATGTATTGAAGCATTAAGAAATGAGGCTGTATATGTAAGAATTGTTCTCTAAAGTCAGGTATGTATTGAAGCATTAAGAAATGAGACTGTATATGTAAGAATTGTTCTCTAAAGTCAGGTATGTATTGAAGCATCAAGAAATGAGACTGTTTATGTAAGAATTGTTCTTTAAAGTCAGGTATGTATTGAAGCATCACGAAATGAGGATGTATAGGTAAGAATTGTTCTCTAAAAGTCAGGTATGTATTGAAGCATCAAGAAATGAGGCTGTATATGTAAGAATTGTTCTCTAAAGTCAGGTATGTATTGAAGCATCAAGAAATGAGGTTGTATATGTAAGAATTGTTCTCTAAAGTCAGGTATGGACGTATTGAAGCATCAAGAAATGAGGCTGTATATGTAAGAATTGTTCTTTAAAGTCAGGTATGTATTGAAATATCAAGAAATGAGGTTGTATATGTAAGAATTGTTCTCTAAAGTCAGGTATGTATTGAAGCATCACGAAATGAGGCTGTATATGTAAGAATCGTTCTCTAAAGTCAGGTATGTATTGAAGCATCACGAAATGAGGCTGTATATGTAAGAATTGATCTCTAGTCAGGTATGTATTGAAATATCAAGAAATGAGGTTGTATATGTAAGAATTGTTCTCTAAAGTCAGGTATGTATTGAAGCATCAAGAAATGAGGCTGTATATGTAAGAATTGTTCTCTAAAGTCAGGTATGTATTGAAGCATCAAGAAATGAGGTTGTATATGTAAGAATTGATCTCTAAAGTCAGGTATGTATTGAAGCATCAAGAAATGAGGCTGTATATGTAAGAATTGTTCTCTAAAGTCAGGTATGTATTGAAGCATTAAGAAATGAGGCTGTATATGTAAGAATTGATCTCTAAAGTCAGGTATGTATTGAAGCATCAAGAAATGAGACTGTATATGCAAGAATAAATGTGATTGATTCATTTATTATCGGTATACATGAAAAACTGTCTTAATTTTGCATTGCTGTTGTAACACATGTGTACCATCATTCCTCTGCCATTCTTAATAGAATAAGTAACACACATTATAAGAGATTGAATAGGTATTATACTTTATAAGACACTGGACATTAAGCAACCAACAATCAATAACATTATAAGAAAAAAAAATGTCCATGCTTAGGTATATTTTTAAAGAATTCATGATGATATATTAATGATATTTCTAATATGTGTCTTTTATACAGTTTTGCAAATGTCTTTGAAAATAGTATCACTGTGACCTACATTTCAAACTAATACAACTTTGTTTAACTTTTGTATTGAAGTCCATTCCTGTAAACCTAAAATGGTAGAAATGAAATATTAAAGATATTTTGCCACTCCACTCCTTGTTTTACACAATTCATAAATACATTTATAGTGACAATTTATTCACAGTGACCAGTTTCATTTAATGGCTTGACATCAGTATTTTACAAACAGATCATATATATAGATTTTATATACTTCCAGCTTTCATGATACTTTGATTGGGTATATGGATACCTGTCCCTATGAAGAAGATAAACAGTTGGAAGAAACACTGAAGGCAGTCATTGATCTAATACCATCAGATGATCAATTTGGTGTTGTTACATGTCAGTCTGTGGAATTGTGGCATTTAGTCCAGAAAATTCACATGGATAAACAGAAAAGGAAACATTAGAGAATTTCCATACAGATAATTACATATACACCTGACTAAGATGTGCCATATGTATAGTTTTGTATTTTCAAACCAAAGATATGCATACTTTTCCTTAAAGGATTCTATTTTATGTTTTGCAATTTATTTCAAAGATATTTAAGATTATGTGCCTTACATATATGTACATTTATTTTTATAAGACAGGAACAGTTTGTTTTGGTTTGGTTGTTATGTCCTTACATCGAATAATTATAAGTGTATCATTGTATCTGACTCTACTGTCAAACAGTGAGACATGATCACAATTAACTATAATATATATTGAAAAATAACTAAAAGATGTTTTTTTTTAAAGGAATTCAAAATTGTTTGTGTTGGTATTTATGTTTGTATGTTCACAGCTTGTCTTTCAGTACCAGTGTTCAATAATGAAATGTTTTAGTTTGTATGTATAATATTGTATGATGATAAGGGTAATTCTGTCAACTACATGTAGAGTATACAATTTGAGATCATATGTTGCATTAATGAAAAATTTATCAGAATTATTGTGTTGTTGCCAATATATTGTAATTTTACATATTTCACCAAGACACCGTTTTCAAAAGCTGTTGATTTTGATTAATACAAAATTAAAATGCTGTTTCATTTTTCTCTCTTTTGTACATTTTTATTTGTACACATTTTTTATATCTACATTTTTATAAGCCCGTTTACGTGATGTATTATGGTATACCGTTGACCGTCTGTCCGTCCGTCCGTCGTCAACATGTCGGACATTAACTCAAAAAAGCTTTAACCAATATGCATGAAACTTTGGTGAGTTGTTTATATCTATTGACGTGAGCTCCCTTTCGTTTTTTATAAATTTCAGATTTACCGTTTCTGAGTTTTGGGGTTTTATTCATTAAAAAAGGGGGGATTTTCCAATTTTCCGACAATAACTCAAGAATGCTTTCACCAACTTGCAAGAAATTTTGGTGAATTGTTTATATCTATTGACATGAGCTCCCTTTCGATTTTTATAAATTTTAGATTTTACATTTCCTAGTTATGGGGTGTTATTCATAAAAAAAAAGGGTGATTTTCAAGTTTTCGGCCAATAACTAAATAATGCTTTCAGCAGTGCTCTTGAAACTTTGGTGAATTGTTTATATCTGTTGATGTAAGCTCCCTTTAGAATTTTATAAATTTTAGATTTTACATTTCTGAGTTATGGGGTTTTATTCATTAAAAAAGGGGGGATTTTCCAGTTTTTGGACAATAACTCAAAAATGCTTTCAGCAGTTCTCATGAAACTTTGGTGAATTATTGATAGCTATTGATGTAATCTCCCTATTGAATTTCATAAATTTCAAATATGACATTGAGAAGAAATTGAACTTTATTTGTTTATAGTCTGACAACAGATTTACTAAGTATTGCGCAACAGCACAGTGTATTGCACAACAGCAAGAAATCTTTAATTGAATATAAATTCAATTCATATAACCAATTTCAAGTTCTTTGACTACATTTATTCAGAAACCTATAATATGTCAAATATATGATTACAATCCAAATTCAGAACTCTATCAAGCTTGAATATTGTGTCCATTTTTGCCCCAACTGTTCAGGGTTGGACCTCTGTGGGCGTATCCAGCTGCGCTCAGCGAAGCAGTTTATTATAACTTTTCCACAGTTGCATATTATTAGTTTTTTCTTTGAGATTTATGCAATATTTGATGTTTATGGCATGATACATTTAGTTTCAACATGAGGACAGCTATGTCTCAATTTTTTACCCCCCTCCCCCAATAAAATTCCGAATTTGAGAAGCATTATACTTGGCAGTTACTTTTGACATATCTTGCAACCACATAAATATTACTTTCAATGTGTTTTGATTAAAATTTTCAAATGAAGTGGGAAAGTTTTCATATTAAAAAAGGTAAAAAAAATATTCTAAGATAAATACATTTTATTAGAAACTAAAGATATAAAATTTGCAAACATTTTATAAAAAAAATGTCCTTTTAGTGTTATGAGTTTTACTGTCCAATATTTTTGTTAATTCCTGCCATCATTGTATACTGTTGTGTTTGGGCTTTTGATTTTCATCTTTTCATAACTGTAAATTTACAATTCTGTGATATAAATTTAAAATCTTTTACAAACACCTTTGAACAATATAAATCTGTAATGATTTTTAAAGGGAGATAATCATTTGTTTTACTGTTAATCACAGTAAACTCAATGTTAAGGTTTGTTTCAAAAATAATTGTGATAAAATTGTAAAGATATGTTTTTCATTCCTGTATTTTTTATTGTTGTTTTTTTAAGTAGTGCTAGTTCAAAGTATTATGTATTAGAAGATTCCAAATGGTGATCCAAATAATATTGATTAATTTATATTTTTATGAAAATAATTGTTTTCTTATATTATGACTGTGTGATGTTTTGTGAAACTAAAAAGGAACATTTTTTGTTTTGTATCATTTTCTTCATTAAATGATTTTTCAAATATCAATAAAGTGTTATTAGTTTCCCTCTGTATCTGCATTGTAACCAGAATAATTACTTAATTTTAGCAGGTGTGTTAGACTCCCATCATAATTGAATAGGTTTGTTAGTTTTCCTATTGACAGTCAGGGGTTTTCTCTGGCTACCTCCACCATTAAAAACTGGTCACACTAGACCCAAGAGTGCTGAAAGTGGCGTTAAACACAAACAATCAATTAATCAATTTATGATGAGAATCTGAATTTCATTTTTGTTGAGCCTTCGACTTTAGTTCAAAAAGCGAGACATATCGATCCTACATTCCGTCGGCGGCGGCGGCGTCCACAAATATTCACTCTGTGGTTAAAGTTTTTTAAATTTTAATAACTTTCTTAAACTATCCTGGGTTTGTACCAAACTTGGACAGAAGCTTGTTTATGATCATAAGATAGTATCCAGAAGTAAATTTTGTAAAAAAATAAATCCATTTTTTCCTTATTTTACTTTTAAATGGACTAAGATTTTCTGCCAGGAAACAACACATTCACTCTGTGGTTAAAGTTTTTAAAATTTTAATAACTTTCTTATACTATTTTGGATTTGTACCAAACTTGGACAGAAGCTTGTTTATGATCAAAAGCTAGTATCTAGAAGGAAATTTTGTAAAAAAAATAAATCCATTTTTTCCTTATTTTACTTTTAAATGGACTAAGATTTTCTGCCAGGAAACAACACATTCACTCTGTGGTTAAAGTTTTTAAAATTTTAATAACTTTCTTATACTATTTTGGATTTGTACCAAACTTGGACAGAAGCTTGTTTATGATCAAATGCTAGTATCTAGAGGGAAATTTTGTTTTCTTCCAGTTAACATTACATTCAGTTTGCAGTTAAAGTTTTTAAACATTTATTAGATTCATAAACTATCCTGGATTTTTACCAAACTTGGACAGAAGCTTCTTACAATCAAAAGATAGTATCAAGAGGAATATTTTTATTGATTTACTTCCTCATTTTTGTTGAGCCTGGGATTAACAGAAAAAGTAGGCGAGACACTGGGTTCCGCGGAACCCTTACGAATTTTTATTTAATAAAGAGTTAAAATACACTGTTGTATTGAATGTGTGCACTTTTCATTGTGAGTCACTTTACAATGTATTGATTTGGAATGTTACACAAACTTACAATACTTCACTGTATAAGGAACAGCAATAAGAGTGTCAGAAATAGCAGTACTAATGATGGAATTATTTTCTGTACCTTAGCTTGCTTCTTTATCAACATTTATCCTTCAGGAGTCTAAAATGTCTACTACAAATAAAATGACTTGTCTCCCCTTGGCACTTATTACAATGTAATGCACATGTTGCTCTAAGTTTACCAACTTTCGTAATTCAAAGTAAAGAGCAAACAGAACGAAGGTGTCAGACAAATCTGAACAGCACTCAAAAGTTACATCTTGTTAAGGTCAAGCAGCTGACTTTGTATGAAGTCATTCTGTTTCTTAATTTTCTAAGAAGAGTGACTAAAATAGTTTTTTTCATTCAGCATGTTGGCAAAGCAGAAGTATGTGTCCGACTTATTCCAAAAAGTGAACATTAAAACTTCTCACTGTCAAGCTGTTGACCTAATATGAAGTCACTCTTTTCTTTAGTCTTCGAATTTAGCATAGGACCGCCAGCCCCTTGTGCCTGTGAAAATCTCTTCGGTCCTGTTTGATTTTTGTGAATTTTGCAATATAATCTTAAGAAAAATTTGAAGATTCATGAAATCGGTCCTGTAAAAGCCAAACCCCAATTTCTATGACTGTCTATAGTTCCAGAAAAAGGTTTGATGGACAGACCAACAAGGTGATTATGAGTGCAGGTATAGTAATAACTGTTTATATTCACATCACATGGCCCATTGTGGAATTGTTAAAAGGAAGTTTCATCGTTTGTTGATTTGAGGCGAGACCATTCTGGTCTCTGAATGTTTTTCCTTCCTATATACCTTTATTTAATGTGTTATATAAATGGTACATGTATAGAGGTAAAAAAATCACTTACCTGTTTATTCTATGAGAAAATTGAGATGTATCGGGAATTTTTGGGATAGATGTCTAATTGATGAGGATGAATTGGTGTTTAACATACAGTTGCAATTATTACAAGCATATCAGAATGAGAACATGTTGATTCAATTTGAATATGAACCTTCGTTTGTTTTAGACTGATATGTTGTGTCTAATTTTAACATGCAAGTGAACATGGAAACAGTCAGCAGGAAATATGTCTCCCTACCTGGACACATTTTGCTGTCTGCGAGTTAACCCGTCTTCACTCTTACTCCTAAATTGCAAGTCCAGATTGAAAGAAGTGGTCAAATTCCCAAGGTTCAAGCCTATGAAAATAACGATATGTGGTATGATTGGCAACAAGACAACTATCCACCAGACCAAAGGACATAGATGTAAGCAACTATAGGTTACCGTACAGCCTTCAACAATGAGCAAAACCCACAGTAAGCAATTAAAAGCATTGGCATGACAAAATGTGATTTATGCAATAAAAAAACCCAAATATGACAGCAATCAATGTACCACTGAATTACAGGATTTCGATTTGGGACAGGCATATATAGAAAGTGGCTGGGTTAAACATGTTGGAGACCCTAACCTTGGACAGTGGTATATAACATCATAAACTGTAAAAAAAGACAAAAGACAACAAATACCAATCTAAGAGTACTCACAGTTGCTGAAAGCTAGTTCAACACCCATTACAACTTAGGTCTTCCCAGACTTAAATATCAATCAGTACATATACATGCAGGGTTAAGATTTCACAAAACATGTTTAACCCCGCCTTATTTTGGCACCTGTCCCAAGTCAGGAGACTCTGGTTTGTTAGTCTTATATGATTTTTAATTTTAGTTCATTTATATGTTTTGGAGTTTAGTGTGACGTCCATTTCACTGAACTAGTACACATTTTTGTTTAGGGGCCAGCTGAAGCCTGCCTTTGGGTGCGGGATTTTCTCACCGTGTTGAAGACCCTTTGGTGGCCTTCGGCTGTTGTCTGCTCTTTGGTCTGGTTGTTGTCTCTTTGACACATTCCCCATATCCATTCTCAATTTTAGTGACATACATCTATGACATTTGGTCTCTTGTGGATAGATGTCTCATTAACAATCGCACCATATCGTCTTATTTCTATAGACTTATCTATTCATCTCTATAGATTTTTGAAACTCTTCATATTCACATACCATTACTTGATTAGTGATCATGTTTTTTTCTTTTCAGGAAAATTACAATTCCATAAACAAACTCATAAGGTAAATTTTTTCGTCGTGTATTTTACCATGTGTATTCATCTTACAGTAGGTAACTCTCATGCATAATTATGTAGATGATATTCTTCATATAATACTGGTACAAGATTTTCATGAAATATTCAATTACATGCACATCTACATCCAGTTCTTCTTTATATATGTACAGGAAAAAAAAATTAAAAGGTCAATCAATAATGTCTTACACTTTACAGTGTATAATGGTGTGTGTTTTAGGGAACATAAGTGCTCAAGCTGAAATGTCTCTCCTGCTTTAATGACCATTGATTTTATGTTGAAAGTCTTCAAGATAGACGTTTAAATACATGTATCAAATAAACTTAAAATTTTTAAAGATCCATGACAATGAGGTCAACGTCAGATAAAGCCGGTCAGACATGTATACCCTAAAATTAATCCATACACCAAATATAGTTGATCTATTGCTTATGGTAATTGAAAAACAGACCAAAACATAAAAATTTAACATCGACCAATGAACCATGAAAATGAGGTGAGGGTCAGATGATGCCTGCCAGACAGACATGTACCCCTTACAATTATTCCTTACACCAAATATAGATGACCTATTGCTATTAGTATTTGAAAAAAACACCAAAAACACAAAAACTTAACATTGATCAATGAACCAGGAAGATGAGGTCAAGGTCAGATGAAACCTGCTAGACTGACATGCACCCCTTACAATCATTCCATACACCATATATAGTTGACCTACTGCTTGTAGTATCTGAGAAACAGACCTAATTTCAACCTTGATTACTGATCCATGAAACGAAGGTTGATGTCAGGTGAACCCTGTCTGATGGACATGTAGACGTTACATGGAACCCATATACCAAACGTTTATTTCATTACTCATAATAAGTGAGAAATTCACATGACAAAAACCTAAAAACTTATATGATGTAAAATAAATTGCTTCACAGAGCGCAGCTGGATACGACCGCAGAGGTCCAACCCTGAACAGTTGGGGTAAAAATGGACGCAATATTTGCGCTTTATACACGTCTGAATTTGGATTGTAATTCAATATTTGACACATAATAGGTTTCTGACACAGAATAACTGTAGTCAAAGAACTTAGAATTGGTTATATGATTTGAATTTATATTCAATTTTTGCTTTTGTGCAATACACTTTGCTGTTGCGAATTGACCTTCCCCCCACCCCTTTCTTTTAAAAAAAAAAACAAATTTGAAGGATTTTCTTTTTGATTTCTGAAATCTTGAGAAAAAATTGCCCCCCCCCCCCCCAAATTTTTTTTAACCCCCCACCCCCTCTTTTTTCCAAAAAAATTCTTTCCCTCAGTCATGGTCATAATTTCAATTCAAATTTCCAATGGAGTTTTCAACCATAATAACCCATTTAAATACATCATTAAAGTCTTAAAATAGAAAATGACATACATAATCATAGCTAAAATTAATTTACCTTAATCAGCATTTCTAAAATTATAAAATAGTAACTTCTAAAGATGAATTGACAGCTAATCACATCAAGACATTACAAAAATTCTGTATACATAATTCAAAAGCAGTGTAAGGGAGGTAATTCAAAGTTGTGTTTGAATTACCTCCCTTACACTGTAATTTGTACTTAAGTAATTGTCCATTAACCAGGACACCCTTGTTTTTTCTCACTTTTTTGCCCCTAATTCCTAAACGGTTTGAGTTATAACCCCCCAAAGCCAATCCTAACCATCCCTTTGTGATATGGAAACTTGTGGTATAATTTCAGAGAGATCCATACACTGTTCCACAAGTTATTGTCATGAAACTAGAAAAATGCTTATTTGGGCCCCTTTTTGGCCCGCTTATTCCTAAAATGTGGGACCATAACCCCCAAAATCAATCCCAACCTTCCTTTTGTGGTTATAAAACTTATGTTTAAATTTCATAGATTTCTATTTACTAGTACTAAAGTTATTGTCCGGAAACCAAATGTCTTCGGACGATGACGACGTGATACCAATTTAGGACCGCAAATTTTTTTGAATTTTTGCGGTCGTATAAAAATTATAGGGTCACTGACTTTGTTTTTATGCTATACATTATTCAAACAAGTGCTCTAGGTGAAAAAATACCAAAAAACGTCGAAATAAGCGTAACTTCATTGGTTGTAGGCTGTAAAATATCAATTGTTGATGTTTTTCTCTACAAAATAGGCAACAGATTGTTAATACACCGAAAACAAAGTCAGTGACCATTAGATTATGTTATGTCATTTAAATGGAAATTTATGTATCAACAACAAATCATTTTTAAAGAAAAATTTATGGACTTGAAATGGAGATTTTGTGATTTAAAGATGAATTTAAGAACTTTTTCATTTATTTTATGTGCTTTCTATACAAATGTTCAACTTTTTTGAAAGAATTCAATTAATAATATTTCAGACAATAAAAGAGATATATGCCTTATTTTTTTTGTTGGATTGTCAGTCATAATTCAATGAGCCAAGAGTGTATGCAAATTTTACCAAAATCTGTGACAAAACCCATTTACTGTATCTTGACCTTAAATTTATATACAAGTTAAAATATAAAAATATCTTTACTAAAAAATTTAAAACAGACACAAGATATTTATATATAGAAAAAGGGAGGTCCATTGACATTCCCTTAGTTCCTGTGACTTTGTAGTAGGTTCACTAACGACTTTCTCTGAGGTAAATGCAACATTCGAAACTTAACAGGAGAATAGTCTCACAGACAAGGTACTGACTGAACATGTTTCGAGATTCATCACAATAAGGTCTTCAGTGGTTGTCGTTTGTTGATGTGGTTCATAAGTGTTTCTTGTTTCTCGTTTTTTAAATAGATTAGACCGCTGGTTTTCCTGTTTGAATGGTTTTACACTAGTCATTTTTGGGGCCCTTTATAGCTTGCTGTTCAGTGTGAGCCAAGGCTCCGTGTTTAAGGCTGTACTTTGACCTATAATGGTTTACTTTTACAAATTGTGACTTGGATGGAGAGTTGTCTCATTGGCACTCATACCACATCTTCTTATATCTATTAGAATGACTAGATCTCGGTTTATGAATTTCTCCAAAATAAGTATATCAGTTGAACTGGTTAAGAAAAACATACATGTGATATGAGTTTTTCATTGTTGAAGGTGACCTATAGCTATAGTTGTTCACTTCTACATCATTTGGTCTCTGGTAATGATGGTGGAGAGTTGTCTCACTGGCAATCATACCACATCTTCTTATTTATATATGTATTCAATGTCTATGTAGATCATTCCTTCATTGTAATAAAATGCTACAGAAAACACTAATACTAAATACAAATTAACCAATTGATATTGAAACCATGATAGAGAATGAAGTTCGTCCCTTTAAAGAGCAGTGTACATGTGCACATATATATATATGCAGCTGCCGTTTTTGATAAGTAATACAATGTCTGGGTAAAAAAGAAAACATTATTTCAGTTTCCACCATGATTTGGTATTTGTTTTTTAATATTGTATTTTTTCATCTGTAATGTAAAGTGAGACAAGTCATACTATTTTAAAAGATAGAGTTTTAAAGAACACACTATAAAACCATGAAATTTAAGCAAATGGTATTTAACTTGTATAATAGAGTCAGTGGTAATACTTGTACAAGTGTCTTTAATTTACTGGTATAGGTAAGTTATTTTGGAGGTAAAGAGTTATATCCCTTAGACATTCAGATTTTTTTACTTATATAAGCCAAAAAGTCTTATTTTCTTCTTTTCTTGAATTTCTCTAATGAAGTATTAAATAGTCTGTCATTAATAGCTGTCCTTACTGGTACTTTTCATAAAAGTATCATTTCATGGACAATGAAAATCTCATTAGTCTGTTATCTTCAAAATACTGCTCATTTACAAGCCTACGGGGAGCAATTTTTGAAGGCCTTGGCAGTTACTTAACATCTGTGGGCAATTGATTTCTTTGTTAAGATCTTGAGACTAAATTTTAAACTCTGAATTAAAAAATAATTGGGCAAAAACCTCGAAAATATAGTTAAGGCATGTTTTGACCCCCCAATTACTTGTATAAGTAAATTTTTGGAGAAGATTAAGGGGAGATTATTCAAACCTTGAAAATAAAATAAAAATCTTACAAATATACTTATATAAGTAAATATTACTTACATCTTCAAGTAAATAATTATGACTTGCGTAAGTATTTCCAATGACTGAGAGTTGTGCTAGATTGATTTTTATCGAGGATATTTGATCTGTACCATATAGATATCATGAAAATTCAAAATTTATAATATAACATGTGTTGTTCTAGTTTGCTATCTCCCTTAAGCTTACTTTTACCCAGTAACCCTCTTCATTTTGTTCATACACAGGTGTATGTTATAAATACAATGTGCCTGTCCCAAGTCAGGAACCTCTAGCCTTTGTTTTCATTTATATGTAGCGTCCATTTTGCTGAACTAGTATACATTATTGCTTATGGGCCAGCTGAAGCCGCCTCTGGGTGTGGGAATTTCTTGCTGCATTGAAGACCCATTGGTGGCACTGGGCTGTGTTCTGCTCGTTGGTCAGGTTGTTGTCTCCTTGACACATTCCCTGTTTCCATTCTCAATTCTACATTAAATAGTTATAAAAAACAAACATTATTTTTCATCATAAATACTGTTTTTTTTAATATACATACAAGTAACAATTAATTCTCTAGTTTAGTTATTAATTGATATGGTATTTCAAATTTAGATGCCACAAGTGTGATGGGAACAGATTCTCCTCCTGGTTGCTGTATGTATACTTTTGTCTCTAAATCATTCAATGATATCTGGCCTAAACTAATATCAGAATTCTCAATATGAATTACACTAGGCATTGGAGGCTCTTCTTCATCAGGAGGAACTAAACTTTTGGGATAATCAGAAAGTCTAAACCTTTTGCTTGGTGCCTCTCCATGACTATGAATTTTGAGCAAATGTTCTTTTAACTTATCATATCTTGTTGTTGCGAAGTTACAAACCTCATTAAATTTACATTTATATGGTCGTACATCAGTATGAAGTAATGCATGTCTGTTTAGATTTTTTTTCAATGAAAAACTTTGCCCACAGATTTCACATTGATGAGGTTTTTCCTGAGTATGTGTTAGTATATGATATTTCAAACTCTGCTTTTTGATTGACTGGAATTTACAATTTGGATATTCACATTTATATGTGTCTCCTGTATGAATGAGTTTATGTGCTTTTAATTGACTTTTGTGAGCTGTTGCAAATCCACAAACATCACACAGATGATCTTTTGTTTCACTGTGAGTGGCCATGTGACATTTAAGTGCATGTTTCCACTTGAATGCAGCTTGACAAATTTCACAGACAAAAGGTTTAACAGTTAAATGTTTTGGAAGATGGACATTTAACTGAGCTCTTGTTTTATATTTGCTGTCACAATAAATACAATGATACGGATGGGGTGGTTTATGAATCGGGATGTGTTCAAGTAGTGAGTCTGAATTTTCAGCTTCAAAATCACAGAAACTGCAAATGTTTTCAGCATGTAGATGTTCTTGAATATGTGTCTGTAGAACTTTGTATTTGTGAGCTGAAAAATCACAACGATCACATTTATATTCTTTTTCACTTCCTTCAAGGCGATCTCTATCATTCTGATGAGCTTTTGCATGTCTATTATATTGATATGACGAGTTTGTAGAATACGGACATTCATCACAGTTGTGCCATATATTTTCAAGCTTTAGCTGACTTGGGGAAGATTCATCTACTGTTTCATCAACCACAAGAGCATCAGAATCTGATTCAGCATCATCTAAAAATTTTGATGGTTTCTTTCCTCTATTTTTTCGTGAAGGAAATCTGCCTCCTGTCTGTTCCATGTTTGTTTCTTTGCTGCTTTTCTTTGCTTCCAATGTTTCAGCATTTTCAAATTTAATGCGTTTACAATTTGTACCTTCATGACTTTCTTCATGGATGTGCTTGTTATTTGATTCAGGTGCTATTGTTGTTGAATTTTCTTCTACCTGATCAATCTCGCCTTCTTTTTTCATTTGATTTTGTTCAATAAGATTATTAATTTTAACATTAAATGGTAATGGTGGGCGGCCTCTTTTTCTGCGAGTTACTCCAGGTAATGAAATATTTTTCTTGCTATCCTTTTTCCTGTCCAATAGAAATGCACTTGATTTTTTTATAAGTTTCTTGCATTTTTCTGCTGCCTGTATTTGTTTATCTTTCACTTTTAGACTCTCAACTTTCTCTACATCAGGATTTGGAACTTGCTTAATTTTGCAGCCAATGTCAAAAATTGTGTTAGTTTGACACGTCTGAACAGATTTGTTTTCTAAAAATGTAAATTGTGGTTCTGTCTGAGTTTGTACTGGTGTGGTTCTAACTAATGGTATGTCAACATCTAATTGTTTGCCAGATTCAAATTTGTTGCAAAATTCCAAAACTTTTTCCATTTGCATTATTTTTGCAATTTCTACAACTTGAACGAGGTAATTAGAGTCTAATGTTATGTTGCTGCTGTACATATAATCAAGTACTAAAGACACGGCCGTAGTAAACCCGTGGTTATCACAATCACCGTCAATGTGTATTTCGATAACTTGTGGAGTTTTCTGTGAAAATGCCCTCGGGTGATCCTGACCCTGTCCTAAGAACGCACCGAAATAAGGGCTTGTTGCTGCTAATACATTTGAATGTGCATAGAATTGTTCTTTTCCAACTCGCAAAATCACATCACAGAACCGCCGTGCCTTTCTTTGATCATTTAAAAGTTCAATGACAGATTTATACTGGTTTTCACAAGAGAATGTTTGAGCTTTGGCAACAGCCGACGCCATCTTGCGAGTTATTTTTACGCTGGTTCAATTACGAATTTGATTGGTTATAAAGGATTTTTCCGTAAAAAAATCTGTCTAATTAAATTCAAAAAGTAAAAATACATTAACTTGTGTTTGTATCTTATTTTAAAAGTCTTGTTTTTTTCTCCTCTCTGGGAAAACAGATTTTTATTGAAAGTGACCGCTCCTGCAACCGGAAGTAAATGTGAAAATGTAAACAAAGTGTCAGTAAATAATATGACTATGCCACTGTCTATGGACTAGTACATGTATAATGCAGCTGCCGTCAATCAAATATTTAATAAAATGCCTTTAAAGCGACTAGACTGCAATGATGGTCATTCAGAAGAATCACAGGATGAACTTTTAGCAGATGATTCAGATGTCTTTGAAAATAGGAGCTCAAACTTAACCCTAGAAATAGGCTTGGGAGACCTAAATGAAGAGCCATGTAAATGATATTTTATTACAATTTATTTATCCATCACTGTTTCTTCATCTGTTTGATTCGGGTTTCAAAGATTTTTTTTTCCTCGGAATTTTTAATTTGAAAAAGTAAGAAGATGTACCAAAATTCAGCTAAAAAAAGTCTTGGACCCTTTATATATATAGAGATTATAGTAATATACATGTACATTGTGTAAATGTATTAGTCTAAAGTCAAATCAAGAAAGGTGCAAGTTGTGTGTCTTTCGACAATCAACTGAATTTCTAGCAATAAAAGATAGTAAAAAGGTGGACAAAATTATAAATTATAATGTAAATGCATGCTTAAAAATACAATTTTGTTTACAATACACCTTATCGCTATTTGTCCGCCATTACTGGACATCACAGAAGTTCCTGTTAAATTTTGATGTCACAAGAGAAAATGGCTGATTCCACAAAGGAAAAGTGAATGTTGGTCTTTTGTTTTTTCTCTTTGATCTTTACAATTTTGGCCAAATCTTGCGCATTTGCTTCATGAAAACTTGGCAGTACTGCAATATATACATTGTAAAAATCAATGTACACTTTTTCACCTAGACATTGTAGTGTTGATTATATCAATTGAAAAGTTGTTTTAAAACTGGGAGCATAGCTTCATATTCAAGTACGGCATCACACCAAGACAGGCACATCTACCGGTCACTGAAAAAAAAATATTAATCCGGTTTATATAACATTTCTCTCCAGTTTTTAGTGAAATCACCTCAATGTATGGAATTCCCCCCTTTTTTTTTGACGATCAATGCATTTGAATGGGGACATATAGTTGGAACACCCCTTTTTCCTGGGTTGGGAACCCCCTTTTAAAAATGGCTGGATCCACCCTGTACATGTATTATGGATAAATAAGAATACGAATATAAATGGTAAAGTAAAGGTTTTCTAATGGATTTTTATTTGATAAGGCATGCACACCTACATGATTTGATACAGATATAATCAATGTATGGAAAATTTTGCAGAATAAAAAAAGTAGAAATGGTAGACATGATTATGTAGATTAAACATTTATCATTTAAATACATTACTATTATATGATAGAATAAAACTATAATAATGCATTAGTATTTTCAAGGAGATGTGGGTTTACATTAAATGAGACGGCATCCTAAACACAAAAGACATCTAGAGGTCATTATATTAGTCTTCAACAAAAGACAGGTGTCTATACAATATGCCAAGCTCTTAATTGGTCATGTCTAATAGTTCTGAATAAATTTAACAGAGCTTATAAAAGATCTGCCACTAATACAAAATCCATCAAATAATAAAGACATTAACTATATAAGCTGTAACAAAAAAAAACTGATGTGTTTCCTGACTTTGACTATTTTGAATAGGAACATAAACATGTGACAGGGAACCAGTTTTATGAAATAAATTAAAGAGAAAAAGTTTCATAATTGTAATTTTATTTTCAAGCTTAACCAGCGAGTCCAGGATGTGTGTCAATAGAGAGTAACAGAGAAAGTGTTGGATATGTAAACTTTGATTGTAATTTTATTTTCAAGCTACACCATCAAGTCCAGGATGTGTGTCAATAGAGAGTAACAGAGAAAGTGTTGGATATGTAAACTTTGAAGTCATATCTGCTGAAAGAGTCAAAGATGGCAATTCTACTTATGTGGTAGGTAATATTATAAAACAAGTTATTTGTTTGTTTGTTTGTTGGTAATTAATGCCACTTTCATGGACCTTGGCTAAATCATGGTGGCTTGTTAGTCCCCTACTGATGAAGTCTAAGGGGACTTTAGGTTTGCAATCCGTCCGTCTGTCTGTCTGTCCATCTGTCAGTCCGGCAAATCAGTTTTTCAGACTTCTTTTCTTTGTGTTGAAGATATTGATTTGATATTTGCTTTATTGATTTATCATGACAAGTTACAGGTCAAGTTCAATTTTCACAATTTTAGCTTTTCTCTTTGTTCAGTTAAAGCCCTTTCCCTAGAATAAAATTTTTGATGAAATACTTATTAATTAGTAGATTTCTGTTCAAAGGGAAATAACTCATTTTTTAAAAGACAAAATGACATTTTGGATTTTTTTCCTTTTCTTTGGTAAATTGTTTGAAGAATTTAGTGGTAGGTTTGTTTGTCATTCTTAAGCTTGAAGTTATTGATTTGATAATTAGTATTTAGTTTTATCATGACAAGTTACAGATCAAGTTGGAGTTTTGTTTCAGTCTGATAATTTTGTGCAGAGTTATTGTCTTTGGACATAGAAAATTCACTTAATAATCAGTTTTCAACAGTTTTTTTCGTCATGCATGAAGATTTTGACTTGATATTTTTATGTAGTTTACACCATGACAAGTTATAGATCAAGTTAGAATTTCGTTCCATTACAATGAAATTGTAACCAGTAGGGGACTATGTATTTCCATGCAATACTCACAGAATGCTTGTTTTAATGAGTGAAGGACCCTTAAATACCAGGAGAGAACCACTGACATTCAGCAGCAAAACTGACAAACTGTTAAAATTGAGATCGAAGTCAAACACACCTTGTGACGACCAGGGTTCAAAAATACAACCTCAGGGTTGACACACTACAGATCACTCTAGATGAACAACTTCAACCACTTTACCACTGAGGTCCCTACATGTATATATACACTAGTTATTATTATTGAAAAATGTGTCTAAATAATCTTGCCTGAAAATAATTAAAAAATTTGCAACAACTCTAAAATTACCAACCTAAACAAAGTACAATACACATGTCTACAGCATTGTTAAAGAAAACTTGGACTTCATAAGCAATGGTTGTCTAAAAGTTTATATGTTTGTTAAATATCTAGGAAGTATTTAATTTAGGACAAAACTTTTACATGTACAAGGTTTAGAACTGTATATACAATGTGCCTATGTAACAAAATGATACCCCTTGGTAGTTTTATTGCAACAGTAAATTGTACTGCTTACATTAAGAGTAAACAAATATCTTTATTCTGATCATGAAGTGGTGGATTCATTGCAATTGGATGATAATCGAAAAGTATTGTTAAACTTTCCTTTGAAAAAATAGATTATTGTAATTCCTAGGAAAGTAACTTGTTTCCATGATTCTGCATCTTGTGACTTCACAACACAAATCAGTAAAAATAAACATGGTAAATTCAGATTAATTTGTTTTCAAAACATATTAACAAAAATATATATCTTTATTTTACAGGTATATCAAATTTTAATTTCTGGACATGGAATAGAAAAAACACCAGGTATTTTGCACAAAAGATACTCTGATTTTGAAAAGTTTAATGTGAAGCTGAGGAAAAAGTTTCCAGAAATAATGGACAGTGTGTCATTTCCTGGGAAAGTCTTAGTTGGTAATTTCAAAAATGAAACCATTGCTAAGAGAAGCAGAGCTTTTGAACAATATCTGAATCATTTAATGTCACTGAATGAGATTAGATTTTCTGGAGAAACAAAGGAATTTTTCTATGAAAATGAAATCAGTAATGCAAACGAAATGATTGGTTCGAAGAATTATTCAGAAGCAATTTCATTATTGGAAAAATGTCTGCCAGTGCAAGAAAAACTAATTGGAACCACACACATTGATGTTATAAAAACCTTATGTGCGTTAGTGGTCTGTTACCAGGCTCTCAAAGACCCTGAAAGAGCTTTGAAGTATTCTACAACAGGACTGTCCTGTATGGAGGACTCAACAGATAACCCTTATTATCTCCCCTTGTTGCATACATCAATCTATTTACATTGGATGCTGGGAAAAGAAAAAACTCATTTAGAAGTCAAACTTGGGGAATTGAGAGACCAAGGTATTGCCACAGAAACAAATACTAATTTGTTAGACACAGTAGTCAAAGAATTGAAGAGCTGATGTAACTAAAAAAGCTAATTACATAAAATGTTCTGTGATATGGCATATGATTGTTTAAATTGGTGCTTAATAGGCTTATATATATATATACTGGAGATTTATGTTGCTGTATTTCAAATTTCAGAAATCAGAAAAGTATAAAGTAGTCACATGTACAATGTCATGTGCCCTCGTATTTTACAAATTGCCAAAATAAGACTATTTTATAGTTGATACATATACATATTCATCTCTTTGTGGATGAAAATCTTATTTTATATGATTTAAAAATATGCCAGACATATTTTGATTTGATTGAATCTCATTCATAAATAGATATTTTTTCCCTTAATAATTATGGTTAAGAATTTTTTATACTAAATTTTTATAACTAGTGGCAATATATCTTGTTACCTGTACTTCACTGATAATTATGAACAAACAATTAAGGGGAGTCCATACAGTTTCACATGTTATTGTAATTTTTGTGATTTTGTCTTAAGTGTGAAGATTGAGATGAGATCTTTGAAAATCCTAAAATTGAACAAAAGTTACTATGCTGGTTTCCAGAAAAAAGAGGTTAAATATTATAATTCTTTCGTTAAAATTTTTCTACCAATTTTAAGATTTAATTAAATCAGAATTTTTGTCAATAAAATTGTCAAATTCATTTTATTTGAAATCTCGGATAGATAGGAAAAATTAATTAACATATGAACAGTTCTACTGTTTAATTTCAAAACTGCATTGAACTATTGTATTCCATTCCTAATATGAAAATAAGAAGATGTGGTATGATTGCCAATGACACAACCCTCCACAAGAGACAAAATGACATAAAAATTAACAACTATAGGTCACCGTACGACCTTCAACATGTTAGATTAATTTGTAGACCTTTATTGATCAGTTTTGCAAGGTTTTGGTATTGTAATTTTTCTAGACAAAAATTACATAAGAAATTGAGACAACTGTCCCCCAAAGTTCAAATGAAGTGGATGAAAGCAATTATAGGCAACGGTACGGCTTTCAACAATAAGAAAAATCCCATACCATATGGTCGCCTAAAAATTAAATGAAATCATGTTAACATCAATTATCTCTTTAAACTGTATTATCTCCCCTTAATTATAAACTTTTGATATGACAGTGTAAAACTGTAGATTCATAAATTGAATCATTGACATTATTTTGTACACTTGTATTTTTATAGATAGCTATGTGCTAGGTATGATGTAATGACAGAATAATCAGATGGTTGTAGATTTACGTCAGTTATATTCCAGAAATTTTTAGATTGTCTTTCATGTTTGTATGATTTTTATATTATAATATTTTGTATTATTTGTATGGATAAGTTGTGTTGTCTTTCCTGTTTACTAGTCAATTATTGTTAGGTTTAATAAAAAAGATCTGATATATGTTCTACACACAAATTATTAGTAAATTTTGTAAAAGAAACACTATAGCTTATTGGGTTTACGGGTAAAAAATTAGATCTGTTGTTTCCCTAATATAACCTTCGACAAATTAATGTAACACAATCTAGTATTTTTTCTCTGACTAATTTCTAAAGATTGAATTAGTTAAGTTAACCAATCAAAAGATGTGTGGTTTGTGAAAAGTTACTGATACTTTGAATTTTTATTTTTGGGATGAAAAAGAAAGGATATAATATATTGATTCATGACACAAAATCCCTGCACAGACTTGACAAAATTACAAACAAAGAAGCAGTACATAGGCCTAGGTCTGTATCAAACATAAAATACTGAATTTACAATTTAAATTTACTTGTATTATCCTCTTGTTGTAAGTTTGTTTATCTGATAGTTGTTATTGATATGTTTTTTTTTTCTTCTAATTATTAATTCACTATTTGATAGTTTGAAGTACATATGTATTACGTTGTTTTAAGAATACTCATGTATCAGTCTGTTAAAATTACAAATCAGTATTTATACCACCACTGTAAAGACAGAGTATACTGGTTAACGTCTATTCATCCATCTATCAGTCAGTAACATATTTATATCACTTTTAATTTTCTTTATCAAAAACTATAAGTCATATAACAATATTTTGTAATATAATCTGGTTGAAATATATAGTTAATTACAGGAAAAATATAATACATGTGATTATATCATCAGAAGATGAGAACAATTCACAACAAAAATAAAACCAAATATTCACAGAAACCTATGAGAATTTTGCTTCTATTTGTACCAAGTTGATTAAAATTCAACAAGGAATGATGTCATAATAATTTTTTTTTAAATTGTATTTAAATTGTATTCTGTATATATTGCGCAACACTTTCATTGAGATTATTGGGGTCAAACTTTGAGGGCTCATATCTTTGTAGAAAATGCTCAAAATGATCTGAAGTTAACAGCATTACTGTTTTAAAGGGTGTTGAATTGATTAAAGAAAAATACTGAAACAAAATAAGAATTTCGACCATGTGCACAAAATTGTTAAAATTGTGACTTTCAATTTTGACCCCTTTCCTCAAAGTTTGTGAACAGTGTAATTGGCTGAAATTTAACCAACATAACTGTAGAACTTTTGAATACACAAATGATTGAAGATTAAGAAAACACATACTTGTAAGATAGATCAAGATTTTGATTTACTTTATTTTCAGTCAGAAGTTGTATTACATTTATCTGAGTAGTATAGAATAAAATATAGGTGAATAATACTTAATTGTTTAATTTTTTCAATGCCTTTATTTTTTTGGAATTTTGTAATCCAATATTTCCAATGTTTTCATTACAAAGTAAGTGTTATATATTTTTGTGAAGAGGAAGTGAATATTTATTATTTGTTATCTCCCTTTTTTTATGAACTATAAAGATCTTTGTAATTTTTGTTATGTAGTTATGAGCCACAATTATGATCAAATAAACAAAAATAATATTAACTCATGGTCTTTTATGTATGGAATAAAAATATATTGTTATAACCAATAAAACTTTTGGTTTACTTGACCTATATATCTCACCTGAAAGCTCAATGCCTTGTGAGAGCTGACAAACTATTCAAACAATAATTCTTCTACTCCACTTTGTTGAAGAGTCAATCTGGTTGCCTCATTAATTAAAAAAACAAAGGAAAAAAACCAACAACAGAACCAAAAGAAGTTGTTGATTCATCATAGCTGCCAATTTTTGCCTTAATATATTTATCTGTAAGAGGTCAAACGTAAAGAATGTTGTACACATGTATGAACGTTGCCATGTATGCATCAAAATAACAGCACTTTGTTTCTACAATTATACCCTCATGGCTGCATATATTTGGTTTCAACCGGTTCTGTAGTTTTCAAGAAGTATAAAATTTTTTATTTCAAATGGGTTCAACTGTCACCTATTTAGGCCATATTGTTTAGCTTTAAAGCACCAATTAACAAATTTTCAGTCAGTTCATCACAAGAATCCTTCCTGTCATTTCTTATTTAAGTCTCAAGAGGATTTTAGACTGCCTTATACTCCAGATTATAAGATAGCATAATTTAAGAGAGAACTCAGCGTTTAAGCCATATGATAAAAGTAAAGATGTGTTTAAGATTTACAAACTGTATAAAACAACATCTTAAACTATATAATCCTTGTCAAATCTTCATGGAAAAAAGTAAAATAACAAAAATACCAAACTTCAGGAAAATTCAAAATGGAAAGTTCCTGATCAAATGGCAAAATCAAAATCTCAAACACGTCAAATGAATGGTAAAAACTGTCATATTTCTGACTTGGTACAGGCATTTCCTTATGTAGAAAATGGTGGATTAAATCTGGTTTAATAGCTAGCTAAACCTCTCACTTTTATGACAGTCGCATAAAATTCCATAATATTGACAGCAATGTATGAACAAAACAAACAGACATAATAGGTAAAAATGTCAAAAATAGGGGTACAGCAGTCAACATTGTGCTATAATCTTAATCATTACAAAAACAAACAAATATGTCAACAAAGATTAACAAAATGGCATATAGACGAAGCACATAAGCAAAAATAAAAGGCAGGTATACAAAAAATGACAATAGCACAACAACACAATGGGGGGATGTATAAGTACCGAGCCACGCCAAAACGATATTACCAAAAATGGAAGTTAATGAAACTTTGACAGAAGCTTTTTTTTTAAATATTAAAATATTTTGTTTTCTTCATTTTTTCGTATTTCACTGATAAATGAACTAGTTCTCTGTCGGATTGTTGATTATTATAGCTTTAAATGCTGTATGGGTTTTTCTGGCTGTACGATAAACTGTAGATGCTTACTTCTTCCTCATTTGGTCTCTGGTGGAAATTTGTCATGTTGGCAATCGTACCACACCTTATTTACATATAAAAGCCACATCTTATTTTTATATAGTAACCACATGTACCATTTACATACAGTCTGAAGTTAAACTATTTTAGTCATTAATTACTTTGTCAAACCTTCATATCTCACAGCTAAAGTAGAAGCATGTTGTTGTAAATTTTCAACTAGTACATTCATTTGTTTGCCTGCTTCTGTAAAATTCTGCAATTAGGTTCATAATTTATCATTTACGGGCGTATAACTAGTTGATACAAGTAAACATGTTTTCATTCATGATCACATATTACTTTTTTAACCAGAATATTTTATGAGAAAAATAACAGAATAAAACATTGGTATCATAGTTTGAATGTTATTGAATACATTCTTTATTTTCCCTTATCTAAACACATGCATTTCATTTGCAAAAATTGATTCACATAATTATTTAGATGTCTACAAATTAATTTGAATAACATCATTCAATCTAGATTAACAGTTTACAAAAATGTAACTGTGTTCTTCCCCCAAAGTGAGGGAAAGACGTCCTTGTCGAATACTGGACAAAAACAAGTAATAATTCCTCATCTACTCGTATGTCTAATTGATAAGCTTTAATATCATTCTAGAAACATGTCAGTCATGTTCATTACTGTTACAGAGGATGCTGCTGTCCTCAGTTAACCAGCACTAATCATCTGTTTCGGTTGTGCACTCTCGAAGACTGGTGGTACAGCAAAATCCTTGTACTTTGTTGTTGCTGTTGATGTCTTTGTTTTGATGTATCATCTTTGTTATCTTCATCATCATTGTTGTCATATGTCATGGTGATATATGTCATGCTATCACCATCCGTTCTATCTTCAAGTGAAGCATATTCTTCTAAGCCATGCTCTTGATCTCATAGTGATGTATCTTGCTCTCAATCTCTTGATCCACAGGCAAAGAAGCGTCTTCTGTTCAGATTGATCCTCCGCGTTGCGATTCTTGTCGTCGACAGCGTTACCAGGTACAGGTGTATTAGCATCTTCCTAAATCGATGGTATGTCATCCTCCCTGGAACAATGTCATCCAGCTAAATATCTCGTTGAGGCTTTCTATCTCGACATACATCATTGATTCATCCTCTCGGTCTGATTTGGAGTCTGTGGGAACTTCTACTAGTACTTGAACAGATTTTGCCTTTGACGATGCTTGTTTTCTTTTACTTTTCCTTGGCAAAGGGACTAGTTTCAGGCGAGTTGTGCTCTCTTCCTCAAGTTCCTCGTTGATTCTTCCAATGTGTAGGCGGAGTTTTCTATGAAACGTTTGTTTTCTTTCATGACCACTCTCTATTTTACTGCATACACCAGTAGTTCTGCATTAGGTTCTTCTCATTTGTCTTGTAATTTGTAGGTTCAGTCATTGTTTTGTCAAGGACTCGATCATCCTTGTGTTGTGTGGCTTTTGTGTTAGATCTTTCAACACCGTGCAGTGGATGGATATAGTAACATTTTATCCTTGAAGCTTTTCATCACTGCATCGGTATTAGTTTGTATGATAATCGGATTTGTTTTTGCTGAATTAAGGTGATGCATCTGAATGCTAAGTAGGTAGCCTTTGCAAAAAAACGTTTGCAATATTGTTGTTTTTTATCCTCCAAAATTTCCTATAAAATGGATGTTCTGATGAACTGTGATACTTGATTATTGAACTCGCTGTCTGGAATGATCAGGAATAAAACAGAATTCATCTAGTGGTCAGCTGCTCATAGCAGATGTTAATCAACCTCGAAGTATCCCTAATAAGATGTCTTTTTCCTTAGCGCATTCGATATTCAAAAGTTAGCTGAGTAAATGTTATATGGCGTTGAATATATTGGCTGATTGTAGAAGCTCTCGTTAACTGTTGATACAGTTGAAACTGCATCGAGAAGTGCTGTTGTATCGATTTCGTTGATGGAATGAATAACCTCATTGGATGAACAAAGGAGTCTGATGTTGAGGATATCTGTTCTGTTTATTGATGAAAGCCTGTTGGAGGTTCAGCGCACGACGTGTCTTTCATGAATGACCAAGTCTTACATTACATGGTAATCTACTGCGTTTTGTGTCAATATGTGAAATCCTTGTGTTTGTGTTTTCTGACTTGTTGTACTACTGGCTGATATATACTGGTTTGGTCTAAGTAGAATGGTGTCAATGATGCATCTCTTCTTGTCAATGTAAGGTATATAGCTAGTCTTATAATGAATTCCAAGAGAATTTTTTATTACATTATTTTAAAGTATGTATCAATCTGAACATTTAAAAAAAAAAAATAATCCCAGAGTCATTATAATGTCACATAGCATATTGATAATTAAAGTATGTACATAAAAGGACATGATAATTATCCTAAATACTAGTATAGGAGGGGACAATCTACCAATCATTTATTGATACTAAGTGTCTATCTGTTAAATTCTGATAAATATGGTGGTTGTATCTCATTGTTTTGCAGTCAAAAGTAATTTATAAAACTAACGAGGTAAACAGAGAAAAAAGAAAAAAAAAATATAAAGGGAAAAATCTAAACTGAAAATGTATTGATAAATGTGTAAGAGTATCTTTGAAATGAAAGCTTTTGACGAAGTTTCATTCTACAAGCAAACATGATTTGTCTCTGAATTTGACACCAGTAACAGTGGTAACAATCTGTATGCTAAAATAATATCAATGTACGATGATCAACTGAAATCACTGAAAATATGGAAACTTACGTCTATTGAAGAATCAATCAGTCAACAACAAGAACTGAAGCAACGTGTCTACCTATACAACCAACAACATCAAAAGATAAAAACAACACGCTATAAATTTTTATGCGTCCGAAGCGCTTTTCCAGATTTACCTTCCTCAGCTAGAAACGCTCAAAGCGAATATTTGAAAGCCAAGGATGTTAAAGAACCGACACAGTTGAAGTGCTATAACCTTAAAGGCACATAAAAAAATTTAGACATTTCAAGCAGCATCACTCAAACAATGTATACTTACTGAGCTATGTTACCTCCAACGTTCATATTGAGCTTTACTACTCAAAATATGTAGACTTCTCCCGTTAGTTACTTCTGTACTTTTTTTTTTGGTTCTGCGGAACTTTACGATCAAAAGAGTGTTTGTTATGTCTTAGATGGATTTGGCTATTACTTTTTGGTCATATTTTAGTCATAAAGCTCTTTAGCTACTTCCGTTCTTATACATAATAGGCTTTCAAAATATTCGGCTTTGAGAGTTCCTGATGAAGGCATATTCAGAAAAGAGCTCCGGGACGCATACAATTTATATATCGTTATTTTCATTTTTAAGATCTTGCGAGTAATAGTCGAAACTGAAAACTAGCAACAAAAAAGTACAATGGTTTAATTCTACTGTATCAGCTTAGATTTGAATGAAAATATAAATAGATATATGATAAATGACAAACATATTATGCCTAATTCCAAAATACTTTTAGGTTCAGGCTGTTAATTATAAGTAAGAGCAGACTTGAATTTTATTCAAAAATATAACATGTCATATCTTATATTACAGCTAGTAGCAAATTTTTTCATGCAAGTTCGTACTGGAAAAGATGAAAAGGAGAAAACTTCATTTATAAAACCTTCCTTTGCTGACAATT